GATTTATAAAATAAAATAAACAAAAAAAAAGATATTATGTAACACACACACACCCACACACACACACACACACACACACGCACACATACATACACACACACACATATATACCCTGATTTTTAAAACATTTATTTGAAAATAGCATTTAAAAATTTATATATAAATACAGAGCTGGGTAGTAATCTGGATTACATAATCAGATTCCAAAAATTAAGTACTTGTTATTAGATTAAATTGCATTTTAAAATACTCATAATTAGACTACACTGGATTTACAAAAAACATTTCATGTTTAAGAAGTGTTTCAACATTCATGTTTCAACTACTGATGAACACTAAAAATGTTTCCATGCATGGAAGCTGTCTGTCTTTCAAACACATCAACACTTTTGTCATCTGATCCTCTTTCACCTAATATATTTTTATTTGAAGTAAGTACCCCTGAGATAAAAAATATATATATATTTTTAATTATGAAGCATCACATTTGTATGCTCATGGTTCTCTGACATTGGTTATAGTCACATGACATGCAGGTAAACAAATAAAAAATTTTTTATTCATTTTAAAATTATTTGTTTTAATTAAACATTGTTATGATTTAATTAATTATTAATTTTCATTTAACTCACAAACCCCCTGCAATGCCTTCACAAACCCAGTTTGGGAAACCTTGACGTAATATAATGTTTAATGCACTTCATGTTGTTGATAACAACAAATGCATATTTTCTTACTCTTTGTATTTTATATCAATATGCTGCAAGATTACCCTATTTAAATCAATGTGAAAAACGAGAGAGATCAAAAGTAATCTAAAAGTTGTCTGATTATATTACCTACAATGTGTAATTAATGTAATGCATTGTTACTAACTACAATAATATGTACATACAATTATACTATATATATATATATATATATATATATATATATATATATTAGGGCTGTCAGTCGATCAAAATTTTTAATCCAATTAATTACATGATGTTTTGATTAATCTAATTAATCGCAAAATAAATTTGACTGTGAAAATACCCACAAAAGATTATTTAAAGATATTTTTGTTAAATGAGAAAGTATCAAGTAGGCATTACAAATTGTAGCTTTAGAAATATTTTATTTGATTTAATAAAAAAATGTATTACACATAAACATTTAGGCTACAACGGACTAACATAAACTATAGAACATAAAAGGCCAGCAGGTGGCGGTAAATGTAATTAATTTGATTCGTTCAAACGACTGATTCATTCGGGAATAAACTAACCCTGCGTTCCATTCGGAAGGGCTCATCCCTATGCCCTAATCCCTTCAAAGTTGTTTACCCTCCGGAGTGAGAGCTTCGAAGGGTTGAAGGGTCTAGAGCACCAAACAATTGTTTCTTGAAGTGCCCTTCTGCGTCATCATCACGTGCCCACACGGAGGCGCCGTCATCATGCAAAGAATCTTATTTATTTATTTTTGGTGAATTATCCCTTTAATGTTTTTTATTTATTTATTTTTTAATAAATGAAATGATACTCTAAAGAAGAAACTAAATCTGCCAGCAGGTGGCGGTAAATGTCTTTATGAGTCGATTCGTTCAAACAGGCAGATTCATTCAGGAATGAAGTTAACGGCTCTCTCTATGAATGGTAAATGGGCCATTGATTCACACGATTTGTTCAAAACGCGGATTCATTCAGAAACTAAACACTGCTGTGTTGCTCGAAGATTCGAAGATGCTCTGCTATGGCTTTAAAGGTAATATATTCTTTGCGAAATTGAGCAAAAACACATAATATTGTGTTTAAAATATAACAACAACTTCTTATTTATTGAACTGTTGTATAAAATCACATTTAAACGCGTGATATCCGGGACAAAATCAGCACTCGTGTCATAGCCTACTGCACTACTGCTCGTGTAATATCATATGATATAAATACGAGACAAAAATACATACAGGGGCATTTTTGCACCAATATCTTGAATTTTAGGGCATAACTGCATTTATGGAATTGTTGCCCTGCATCATATTTGTCATAAAACAAACACCCAGGCTCATTGTACTCACCCACAACAGCCAGGTTGTGTTCAGATCCACATGCAATCTGCAAAAAAAAGAAATTTGTGAGAAAACACCTATTATGTGCTCTGCTCACATTCCAAACACAATAATCCCTGACAGACCTCAGTTTGACCCTCTCACACACACACACACTCTCTCCATGCCTGTAACAGGAGACGGGATGCCTGAATCGAACATTCCCTGCAGGGAAGCGGGTACGAGGACTGAGGCGTACAGCGGTTTGGGGGTGGGAAGAGGTGATTTACACATCCAGCCAAGTTTCCTGCACTCAAAAATAGCACAAACACACAAGTGGCCCCGATGCCGGAGTCATATGTCCGTTACCATGACGACCCGTGAGGATGTGAGTGGGTGACCGGGCGTTTCTGGTTGGTTTATTAATGTTTGGTGATCAGAGCTCGTTATGTGGAGGAAATGGGCTGCTAGTGGACAAAAACACATCGCTAATGCTCTCTGCCGGAGCTGGGAGGATGCCGTCCACACAGACATGCTCGAATTAGTGGAAATTATACCAGTGCATTATGGGAAAAGGCAGCCTGAAACTTCTCTTGTTTCATTACACAATATTTATAAACCAAAAACTAAAGATGCTTTTCTGTCTTTGAGTTTACTCTGGAAGCGACTAGTCACGTGACACAGAGGTTTGAAGTCAAAGCTGGATGCAATCTCATAATGTTTATATACTATCGTTCAATCAGCTGTAATTAGGATACCGTAAAAATAGTGAAAAAAGTTAAAATTATTACATAAATATGTATAATTATTTATTAATTTTAAACAATTTAGGGAATATTTTATTTATTAATTTAAAATAATCCATGAAGATTTAATATATTTATGCATTTATTATTTTACAGACCTTTTTTTATTTTATTTCATTATTACTTTATGTAGACATACAATTAGAAACAAAAGATAAGTATATATATTTTAATTTAGCATAAATTATGAAATACTATTATTTATTCATTTAGCATATTTAGAATAATTTACAAAACATGTCAGAAATTGAGCATTATAATTTCAATATTGTTTTAAATGGACATACATACATTTAGAAACAAAAGATAATTAACTTTATTAATTTAGAATAAACTATTAAATACTTTTATTTATTTATTAATTTGGAATAATATATAGAATACTTCAGTTTATTTAGAATGATTCATTAAATTTTTTATGCATGTAATGTATTCATTTTTAATGTAAAATAATTTACAGATCATATCTTAAATTGAGCACAACATGAAATTTGAAAGTATCACATAGAATTTCATCTTTGCCATAACTATAACAATTTCATAATTTAAACTTTTTATCTCATAATTATGACTTACTATGTCACAATTTTGGCTTTTAATCTTACAATTTAGATTTTTTTTAAACAGCATAATTTTGATTTAGCATCCTGTAATTTTTAACCAGAATTTTTACTTTTTATTTCATAATTTTGTCATAATTTCAACTTATTGATCTTATGATTTCATAATATATGAAAATAAATGACATGATGCTAACGTACAGTAAAAAGCGCATGGAATCTCATCGCACTGAACTCATCTGGGGTCTCACAGCAACATACAGTCTCACAGCAACACACATGCAGTCATAGTACACGTTAAAGAAATAATTCACCCAAAAATTATAATTCTGTCATCATTTGCTCACCTTCTTGTCATTCTAAACCCATTTGATTTTCCATGAAAAACAAAAGGAGATGCATGCATGAGATGCTTTCAAGCTCCATAAAGGTATTTTTAAATATATATTTAAATTAGGGCTGTCAGTCGATTAAAATTTTTAATCTAATTAATTACATGATGTTACGATTCATTAATCTAATTAATCGCAATTATATATTATATCAAAAAATAAATTTGACTGTGAAAATACCCACAAAAGATTATTTAAAGATATTTTTGTTAAATGAGAAAGTATCAAGTAGGCATTACAAATTGTAGCTTTAGAAATATTTTATTTGATTTAATAAAAAAATGTATTACACATAAACATTTAGGCTACAACGGACTAACATAAACTATAGAACATAAAAGGCCAGCAGGTGGCGGTAAATGTAATTAATTTGATTCGTTCAAACGACTGATTCATTCGGGAATAAACTAACCCTGCGTTCCATTCGGAAGGGCTCATCCCTATGCCCTAATCCCTTCAAAGTTGTTTACCCTCCGGAGTGAGAGCTTCGAAGGGTTGAAGGGTCTAGAGCACCAAACAATTGTTTCTTGAAGTGCCCTTCTGCGTCATCATCACGTGCCCACACGGAGGCGCCGTCATCATGCAAAGAATCTACGCAAAGGATCATGGGAGCCCGAAGTGTCCATCAGTTGTACCCTTCGAAATCCTTCATTCCGAAGGGCCCTTTGAAGTGGCCAGTTTTGAGCACTTCAGTTTGGAACGACCCTTCAATATGGTGGCCATGATTGTTTTCACTCCGAAGTGCCCTTCGGAGTGCGATATATATCCCGTTTGGAACGCACTGTAAATGGGCCTTTGAATCATTGATTCACACGATTTGTTCAAAACGCGGATTCATTCAGAAACTAAACACTGCTGTGTTGCTCGAAGATGCACAACAATTCTGCTATGGCTTTAAAGGTAATATATTCTTTGCGAAATTGAGCAAAAACACATAATATTGTGTTTAAAATATAACAACAACTTCTTATTTATTGAACTGTTGTATAAAATCACATTTAAACGCGTGATATCCGGGACAAAATCAGCACTCGTGTCATAGCCTACTGCACTACTGCTCGTGTAATATCATATGATATAAATACGAGACAAAAATACATACAGGGGCATTTTTGCACCAATATCTTGAATTTTAGGGCATAACTGCATTTATGGAATTGTTGCCCTGCATCATATTTGTCATAAAACAAACACCCAGGCTCATTGTACTCACCCACAACAGCCAGGTTGTGTTCAGATCCACATGCAATCTGCAAAAAAAAGAAATTTGTGAGAAAACACCTATTATGTGCTCTGCTCACATTCCAAACACAATAATCCCTGACAGACCTCAGTTTGACCCTCTCACACACACACACACTCTCTCCATGCCTGTAACAGGAGACGGGATGCCTGAATCGAACATTCCCTGCAGGGAAGCGGGTACGAGGACTGAGGCGTACAGCGGTTTGGGGGTGGGAAGAGGTGATTTACACATCCAGCCAAGTTTCCTGCACTCAAAAATAGCACAAACACACAAGTGGCCCCGATGCCGGAGTCATATGTCCGTTACCATGACGACCCGTGAGGATGTGAGTGGGTGACCGGGCGTTTCTGGTTGGTTTATTAATGTTTGGTGATCAGAGCTCGTTATGTGGAGGAAATGGGCTGCTAGTGGACAAAAACACATCGCTAATGCTCTCTGCCGGAGCTGGGAGGATGCCGTCCACACAGACATGCTCGAATTAGTGGAAATTATACCAGTGCATTATGGGAAAAGGCAGCCTGAAACTTCTCTTGTTTCATTACACAATATTTATAAACCAAAAACTAAAGATGCTTTTCTGTCTTTGAGTTTACTCTGGAAGCGACTAGTCACGTGACACAGAGGTTTGAAGTCAAAGCTGGATGCAATCTCATAATGTTTATATACTATCGTTCAATCAGCTGTAATTAGGATACCGTAAAAATAGTGAAAAAAGTTAAAATTATTACATAAATATGTATAATTATTTATTAATTTTAAACAATTTAGGGAATATTTTATTTATTAATTTAAAATAATCCATGAAGATTTAATATATTTATGCATTTATTATTTTACAGACCTTTTTTTATTTTATTTCATTATTACTTTATGTAGACATACAATTAGAAACAAAAGATAAGTATATATATTTTAATTTAGCATAAATTATGAAATACTATTATTTATTCATTTAGCATATTTAGAATAATTTACAAAACATGTCAGAAATTGAGCATTATAATTTCAATATTGTTTTAAATGGACATACATACATTTAGAAACAAAAGATAATTAACTTTATTAATTTAGAATAAACTATTAAATACTTTTATTTATTTATTAATTTGGAATAATATATAGAATACTTCAGTTTATTTAGAATGATTCATTAAATTTTTTATGCATGTAATGTATTCATTTTTAATGTAAAATAATTTACAGATCATATCTTAAATTGAGCACAACATGAAATTTGAAAGTATCACATAGAATTTCATCTTTGCCATAACTATAACAATTTCATAATTTAAACTTTTTATCTCATAATTATGACTTACTATGTCACAATTTTGGCTTTTAATCTTACAATTTAGATTTTTTTTAAACAGCATAATTTTGATTTAGCATCCTGTAATTTTTAACCAGAATTTTTACTTTTTATTTCATAATTTTGTCATAATTTCAACTTATTGATCTTATGATTTCATAATATATGAAAATACTTTTCTGTATTTATTTTGAATATTCAGAATATTTTTTTCCATTCATTTATTTATTAGATTTCTTAAATTAAAACGAATAATTTTAATATAGCTTTAAACAGATATACAAGTACATACAGTTAGAAACAAAAGATATGTGTGAGTAGATGATGAGCTGGTAGGCCAGAGACAGAAATATTACAAGCTGGTGATGTAACGGTCATTTAAATACATAATGAATAATATTCAATGCAATCAAACAGAAAAGTTGACCATTATGGGAACGATGTAGTATTGATCCATGGTACACAGTCATAGTAAAAGTACAAAGCAAGGTTTTTTGCAGATACAGTAAAAACAAAAGCTGGAGCCTCCTGTCAGACGTCAATGAATGATCTGTCCTGATGCAGTCTGTTTCTCTCGCCATCACCAACAAAACAACCCCAACTCCTCCTCACATCCCCCCATCCGTCCCCAGCTGACCCCACGCCACACAAACACAACACACAGCCAGTCAAAACAGCACAGCGACTGTCCAAACGTTAAGGACTGCTGTCAGATCAGTGACAAGGGACGCTGAATGTGTAGACTAAATACTAGTCTTGCTTAGCTAGGCTTTTGACTATTAGCAAGTCTAGTCCACTTATTCTGACCAAGAACCACTGTTCTTGAACCAGAGATCATCTAAGTGACATGTGAAGCGACCAACCAAAAGCACAATCCCTCCCCAAAATTCTTATTATTGTAATGCAAACCATTAAAAAAATGCAAATAATAAAATTGTATATATACCGGTATATATATATATATACACACACACACACAAACACATAGCAAACACCAAATATATAAACGTTTTATATTTAATTTTATATTTTGTAATTTGAATAATCTATAATCATATAAATTATAAATGTATTTTAAAATGAAAAAAAAGATTCAATTACAAAAATTAACATGCAATACATTTTTGATTAAAATAAATAACACATTTTTTATAAAAAAAAATACAATTAAAAAACAAATTAAAATATAAAAATACATTTATATATTTTATATATAAATTAAAATAAAAAACAAAGTTAAAAATAAAATAATTAATACAAATAATTAATTATATATATATATATATAGGCCAAAAATTTATAAATTCTACCATTAAATAAACAAAGCATAAATAAAAATACATCATATAATAGGTATATATATATATATATATATATTAAAATATAAAAAAAGTAATAATATATATTTTATTGTGTATATATATATATAGATATCTGATAAAAATAGAACACAGGCAAAGCATAAATAATACAGTAATTAATAGAATATATAGATTATATATGGATTTTACACAGACACACACACATATACAGTACATACATACATATATATACTTACTGTTAAATTTAATGTATATAATTATGGATTATTCATATTATTAATATGATATATTAAAATATCAGGTTTCATAATTATTCATAAATATAATGTATTTTTGATACCTATAATTATTGTGTATATATATATAGATATCTGATAAAAATAGAACACAGGCAAAGCATAAATAATACAGTAATTAATAGAATATATAGATTATATATGGATTTTACACAGACACACACACATATACAGTACATACATACATATATATACTTACTGTTAAATTTAATGTATATAATTATGGATTATTCATATTATTAATATGATATATTAAAATATCAGGTTTCATAATTATTCATAAATATAATGTATTTTTGATACCTATAAAGAATATATTAAATCAAGTAAATACATTTGATGTTTGCAAAATGTAAATACGTATGTGTGCATTTTTTATTATAGATAATGTTTATATAATTATATATAACATACAAACAATATACAAACAAAATAAAAATACATAGCAGATATACTCACTGAATATAAACCTAACAGACCACTCAGATCATTAGGATCGAGTCAGATAGAAATACCAAGGGTTCACACAAAACAAGGGGAGTCCGCTTTTAGTTGGAATCAGCTTCCAGAAGAGATAATAATAATAATAATAATTCATTACATTTATATAGCGCTTTTCTAGGCACTCAAAGCGCTTTACATAGAAGGGGGGAATCTCCTCAACCACCACCAGTGTGCAGCATCCACCTGGATGATGCGACGGCAGCCATAGTGCGCCAGAACGCCCATCACACACCAGCTTACTGGTGGAGAGGAGACAGAGTGATGAAGCCAATCAGCAGATATGAGGATGATTAGGAGGCCATGATGATCAGAGGCCAATGGGCAAATTTGGCCAGGATGCCGAGGTCACACCTCTACTCTTTTCGAAAGACATCCTGGGATTTTTAATGACCACAGAGAGTCAGAACCTTGGTTTAACGTCTCATCCGAAGGACGGTGCTTGTTGACAGTATAGTGTCCCCATCACTATACTGGGGCGCTAGGACCCACACAGACTGCAGAGTGAGCACCCCCTGCTGGCCTCACTAACACCTCTTCCAGCAGCAACCTAGTTTTCCCAGGAGGTCTCCCATCCCGGTACTGACCAGGCTCAACCCTGCTTAGCTTCAGTGGGTAACCAGTCAGATGATCCAGAGATCAGATGAGCTAATACACTAGTCACATTTAAATCTAGACTCAAAACTCATCTGTTTAGCTGTGCATTTTATTAAATGAGCACTGTGCGATGTCCGAACTGAGAGCACTATATTTTATGTATAATCATTTTCTATTCTTAACAGTTTTAAATTCATTATAAACCTCTTAAATCAATTTTTAAATCATTTTCAAAGTTTTACATGTATTATTATTTTCTTTTCTTTTATGTAAAGCACTTTGAATTACCATTGTGTATGAAATGTGCTATATAAATAAACTTGCCTTGCCTAATGTTCATCTATTTGATCTAGATATAAAAATAAACCCCTGACAAATATAGAACCCTCACATCCTAGTCAGTGTCGACAGCTGTTTACTGAGATGCAGTTGTTTCCATCTGCCTCTGATAATGAAGTGCAGGATGAATGTCCCCACACTGTGATGAAGCCTCAGGTACAGCACTGCACTGTGGGAGCTCAGACACAGACAGCTAGGCTCCAGCGCTCTGGGTGGAAGTGTGAAACAGGCTGTCGGTCGGCTGCACCTCATGTGTGAATAAACTCATTTGAAGAAATCATACCACCCATTACTGGGAGTTCAGCTCTGGATCCTGGAAGGAACACAGTCATTTTCAGCCCACAGTATTGCGTTTCATCTACTGATAGGAAATCTCACAGTGTGGAGCCTGTGAAGACGCCAGCTTCCCCATGATTGGCTAATATGCTTTTGGGGGAGGGAACTGGGTTTTAACAATGGATTTGGAGTCTAACAACAGTTTAGACACAATATAGATTGTCAGGGGTGTTAAATAAACTTACTAGTGCAATTTATGGGTTTAAAAAGCTTAGTGAGACTGAGATTGATGCTTTCAAGATTAGAAAAGGACACAAAAACAGTGTAAAACGATAAATGTTGCCCATATGACTCATGCACTATATTCCACTAAAATGTAAAGCATTATTGATTAAAAGTCATAATATCTAACCTAGCTCTCCTTCAAGAGTTCAAACGAGTTCATTAGTGAAGCAGCAATTTCCAATATGTCATTAAATCACTCTATTAATTCTGATATCATCTAAATATTAACAATCTGGTTCACAACAATTGGTCTAATTGTTTTGCTCACAAAGCAAACTGATCAAATTCTCAAGTTTAACTCAATTCAGAAGCAGCACTTAACAATTGTCAGCAAATAATGACTTACATTTTTTTTAAGTCTTTAAGTTTTTTACATTTTTGTTATATTTTTTCATTTTTAATTTCAGTTTTATTTTTAGTAATTTTGTAACAATTATGTGCTTTTGCCATTTCAAATGTATTTAAATTGTGTTTCAAAAATATGTCTAGTCAAAATTATGAAATAGTCATAATCATGAGATCGAAATTATGAGATAAAGTCAAAAGTATGACAAACGTTAACATTTCCACATTAAATTTGATCTTTGTCATAATAACATAATTATTATATCATATCTCATAGTTTGAACTTTTTATCTCATATTTATGACTTACTATATGACTTGCCATTTTGGCTTTTTATCTTAAAATGTAGACTTTTAAATAACACTTTTGATTTTTTTACTGTCATAATTACAACATTTTAATCTCATAAATTAGAATTTTATCTCATAATTTTGACTTTTTATGTCATTGCTATTTACCACTTGCCATTTTGGCTTTTATCTTAAAATTGTGACTTTTAAACAACAATTTAGATTTTATGTCAAAATTACAACATTTTAAACTCATATTTTCACATTTTTAATCACATAATTTAGAATTTTATCTCATAATTCTGACTTTTTATGTCATTACTATGACTTATTAATCTCATAATTATGATTTACCAAAGCATGATTTTTTTCTTACGTGGCGGAAATGGGCTTTCATATTTATGTGATAATTAATAGTATTTAATAAATATTTTAATATTATTTAATAATATTTATATTTTATATTAATAAACATATTTATTTATATTTTTATTTCAATTTTAGTATTCAGTTAGTCATTTTAATTAGTTGCCAAGGCAACATTTCACATTTTTCAATTAGTTTTACATTAATTTGAAATAATTTGATTTGATTTTATTTATTATTACAGTTTATTTATTTTTTTAAGCTTTAGTTAACAATAACAACACTGCATTTCTCACACAAAGCTATCGCATGACTCCTCAAAATCTCCTTTTGTGTTCCACAGAAGAATGAAAGTCACATGGGTTTGGAACGACATGAGGGTGAATCAAAGATAAAATAACTATGCCTTTAAGCCTCAGGCAAAGTCTTTCCGTCAACCACAATTCAGTTCTAAAACTTTATATTCTGTTTGTCACCGAAGGCTAAACGTGTCCCCGGACACTGCTACACTTTCTCCCTCCCTTTTGATTGTGTTATAGAGGATACCGTCCTCGTTTCCTCTCATCAACATTCGCCGTGCGGACGGGTCGTCAGTGGTAGGACATTGTAGCATAAGCAACTTTTGAGGATTACATATGACATGAGGTCAATCGATCAGGCGGGGAATGGCGAAAGCACAAAACAAAGTCACACAAGGAGATCTGACAAACAGAAATATGTCTCGCAAGCCCTGACAATGTCCGGACAACCTTTCCCTCTCTGCACCAACTTGAACTTAAAAAAAATGCAAAAAGACATAAATGCCAAATGTCTCTTTTCTCTCGCTCACAATATCTGAAGGCTGTTCTTTAATTTTAAGGTTCAGTGACGCACCAAACACGTAAAACCTAAGATTGAGTATAAAATGCTGTGTCGTTGAGTCATTCTCTTCAATTCGTATGCCCACAGATGCTGCATTCTTTAAGGTAAGAGATGACCTTCGATTTAAATCAGCGCTGTGTCTCTGGGCAGGATGAGAAATGCATTGTGGGAATGTACAGAGTGTGTTCACCCCCTGCTGGAAGACAATACATACCGCATTCTCTCGCCTTTAAGCAAAGAACACTATGCCAGTGAGTTCTTATGTCATCTTAACATTTAGCAATAAAAACATTTATGGATAGTTGTGTTCTAAATTCTGATTGGATAAGCTGCATTCAAAGCCATTGTAATGATGGATGTGTACCAAGGTTATTTTGAATTTTTAAATTAGTTTTATTTTTAATATCGTTTTCAAATCTGCTATACAATTCAGTTGAGTTTTTATTAGTTTCATTAATATTGTTGTTAGTTTAGTTTTTATTTTGTGAACGCATGTTTATTTCGTTTTTATATAGTTTAGTTTCAGTTTTAATTCAAGTTTAGCAGAATTAACAGATCACTTCCAGAGCGCAGGCCAAAGAAAGACTTTAAGAAAGGCAATAAGTTATTGCCTATAAATAAATTTATGTCAAATGGGTCTGGTCTGGTACAGAATTAAATTAGTGCTGCTGCTGGATAATGGGTCGAGTGTTCTGTTAAGTACTGCTGGTGCACGTTTACCAAACAGGACCTGTGCAGGACTCTGCTTTACGTCTCTCCATCAGATAACCTCACGTGCGCAATGCGCCATTTACAGGTATTTCCCTCAACCACCGGTGCCACACAGCACGTGTGTATGACGTGATTTAGCCTATGCACACTTGTCCGAAAGCCTGGCAGAGTGATCACAAGATGCTATGCTAAAGTTTTGTATTGTTTTCAGAAAGGATGCGCGTTCTCGTCTTTTTTTCTGTTAATTATTAGGTTGCGCTGCCTATTTTTCTTCAAAGCACCAACTTAGAATGCCTAATGTTGGTTTGATTGCTTGTGTTACATGAGAAAATAAATAATCTTGCTTACCTGATGTAATAGATTTAATGCTGGTGCGGTTCGGGTCGTGACTTGCGGTCTTTATGTCAAATGGGTCTGGTCTGGTACAGAATTAAATTAGGATAATGGGTCGAGTGTTCTGTTAAGTACTGCTGGTGCACGTTTACCAAACAGGACCTGTGCAGGACTCTGCTTTATGTCTCTCTGTCAGATAACCTCACGTGCGCGATGCGCCATTTACAGGTATTTCCCTCAACCACCGGTGCCACACAGCTCATTTATTTTTCCGCCAAGGGGTGAGAACGTAATGATCACTAAAACGATTATTTATTTTTGATAATTATTATTTTATTTCAGTTAGTTTTTCAATAACTGCTGTTAGTTTCGTTTCGTTTTAGTTTTTGAATTATTTTGTCATTTTTATTTTATTTCAGTTTACGAAATAGTTTTTTCATCAATAGTTTTCATCTTCGTTTTAGTTTTCGTTTACGAAAATAACCTTGATGTGTACATGTGATCACACATTTGCTGAATTGTACATATATGTATGCCATAAGCATAAAAATACAGTTGACGGAGAGTCATTTATGTATGGAAGCCCTTTTCTATCACAAAAGAAAAAGTATGTCATAATTCTGACTTTTTATATCTGACTTAGTATGTCATAATTTTGACTACATATGTATAATAAATACAACTTTTTATCTCACAATTATAGTGTCTTAATTTTGTCTTTTATCTCATAATTATGACCTAGTGTCATAATTTTAATTTCTCATAATTTAGATTTTTTTAATCTCAAAATTTTGATTTTTTTAATCTCGTAATTATGACTGTCAAAATGTTGATTTTTAATCTCATAATTTCAATTTTTTTTTTTATATTTGTTATTTTTACCTCATAATCTCTAAATTTAGATTTTTAATCTCATATTTTAAACTTTTATATTATAATTATAATTTTTATTTCATAATTTAAATTTTTTTATATCATAATTATGACTGTCAATTTTGACGATTTTATCCCTTAATTTTGACTTTTTAATCTAATAATTTCGATTTTTTACATATTTTTTATCTCATAATTTCAACTTCTATCACATAATTATGATTTAGTATGTAATTTTGTATTTTTAAACTCATAATTTTGATTTTTTGATTTCATAATTTTACATTTTTATCTCATTATTTCGACTGTCATAATTTTGACTTTGTCTCTATTCATTTTAATCTCATATTTTAACATTTCCAAAGCATGATTTTTTAATGGCAGAAATGGGCTTCCATATTTACGTGATAATTATTTTTATTTATTAAATATTAGTGTCTTCTATCTTTCTACATTTGTTTGTATACATAACACATACCTGTGTTGCTCCAAATAAAGCTTTAACCTCAATGGGGCGGCTTATACTTTGGCCAGAGCTTGTTGAAACGTCATACTCTTTTTCTGTACTCTGATTGGTCTGTCCTAGCTGTCCGTAATTTGCTCTGCCCCATGTAAAGACCCGCCCACTCTCTGTGAATAGATCATATATTGTTAACCGTATCGCCAGAAAAAAAGCTTTAAGAAAGATTTGTGTGAGAAAGTGTGTAGTATGACTCACCAGTTTTTGCGACAAGATGAGTCCAGCCGCTGTGAACGTCAGTCACTCTCTCGTCCTGCAACAGAGATCGATCCAGAGCCACAGGAAGTGGCAAGAAGAGGCTCTCGCTGACCAGCTGACCATGTTTATTGCTTCCCCAGAGGAACACGTCACCTTTGACTGTAGAAATATGGGATTTTGTCTCTATCCCTACCAATCAGAGGTAGAGGACAAAATCAGAGTCATTTGAAAGTTGTCTCACCTGTCAAACAAATGCAGTGGGTGGAGCCTGCAACTACCTTCTGTGGGGTCACGTGATCAAACCCTGCAGATGAGAAAGTCAGCACAAGTGCTAGAAATCATTATAAATTAAAACATATAATTGAACAGACATTAATGAGGTACACTAATAAAAAGTACTTATTTTTTTATAAGATGTCATGATGTATCCCAATGTGAGGCTGATTCAGCTTTAAGCACAACTCTGTGTGTGTGTGTGTGTGTGAATGTTACCCGGGACAAGGCAAGGCTCCTTAGAGGATAGATGCGCAGGAACAGGATGGGGACTTAACATTCTCTTAGCGTGACTCGACAGGCCAGTTCCCCATTGATAAACACAACCTGATGCTTTAGACACGCACATGTACACACACATATATACAAAAAAACACATAATTATGATGAAATATTCAACTATACTATTACAATACACTTATTATATAATTATAATATTGTAATTTGGTTTTCTTTACAATTGTATATTTAATATTTAAAACAAATTACAATATTAAAACTTATTTAATATGTTGAAGTTTTTTTAAATATTTAAAACAAATATACATGTTTAAGGATAATGACATTTAAATTATAATAATTATGATCTTTAAATTTCAAAATAATATCAAATATAAAATTATTTTAATATACTTGATATAAAACCTAGATTTATTTTTAATATTTAAAACAAATATAAACACATTAAGACAAATAATTAAACATGATATAAACATTTTTATATCTGACATATTTATTCATATGCAATTGTAATATTAAAATAAAAGGAATATTAATATATATATATATATATATATTAATATATAATAAGAATATTGAATACACAATGGAATATTTTTTATGTTTGATATGTTTTCAATATTTGAACAAATAATAATATTAAAATATATTTAATATATCATTATAATAATTAATAAAAATAATTAAGGAGGATATTATAATAGAATAATATAGAAATATAAAATTATAAAATTATACTGTTAAATAGTTATTTCTTATATGCGATTAAAAAATCTATATTATCAATATTCAAAACAAATATACATACATACATATATAAAGACAGATAGATAGATAGATAGATAGATAGATAGATAGATAGATAGATAATTAAATATTGTGATATTGAAATTATAATTATTTTAATCATTCAATTATTAAGATAAAAGTTCTTACATGTGATATAAAAATCTATATTTACTTTCAATATTTCATAAAGATAATAATAATTTGAAAAATATAATGTTAATTATAAAATGTAACCTAAAACACGTTATATATTTGTATGTAACACCTGTACTTGCTAATGCGTGTCTGAGCCCTGCAGCCACACTAGTTACCGGCTCATTCAGGGTCTGCAAGCAGAACAAAACATGATATTATTACAAACCTCACACTTACACACTTATCATGCAAGAGTCTCATTATATACTCAGCTTTCACCTTCACGTGTAAAGGTTCTGCTGAGTGTGTTATTCCTGGCGAGACGCCCAGCTGTCCAAATGCATTGGAGCCGCACACCAAGACCTGACCGTCACCTGAAAGACACAGATCAGATATCAGTTACTCAATTAAACCAGAGGAAGTCTCCATACGCAGATCTAAGAGCACTTGATCTAATCAAACTCTAAACAAAACCACTCAAAAATAACGGATGTCTGCAACACCCAAGTCCTTTTAGTTTTCTACCCAGGCTCTCAATAATGAAGCCCGTTTCCGCCACTGAATAAAAAAATAAAAAAAGATAATTGCGACTTTTTTTCTCTCGCAATTGCGAATTTACAAAAGCGTTTAGACTGAAAAAAAATCTTCTCGCAATTGCGAATTTACATTTTGCAAATCGGACTTTTTTTTTTCTCGCACTTGCGAATTTACATTTCGCAAATCGGACTTTTTTTTTCTTCTCGCACTTGCGAATTTACATTTCGCAAATCAGACTTTTTTTTTTTCTCGCACTTGCGAATTTACATTTCGCAAATCTGACTTTTTTTTTTTTCTCGCAATTGCGAATTTACATTTCGCAAATCGGACTTTTTTTTTTCTCGCAATTGCGAATTTACATTTCGCAAATCAGACTTTTTTTTTTATCGCAATTGCGAATTTACATTTCGCAAATCGGACTTTTTTTTCTTCTCGCAATTGTGAGATACAAACTCGCAATTGCGATTTATAAAGTCCAGTTCTGAGGAGAAAAAAAGACTGATAAGTTGTCAGAATTGCAAGTTTATGATTCACAATTCTGACTAGGCCTACTTAAGTCGCAATTGCGAGTTTATATCATACAATTCTGACTTCATTTCTCAAAATTGCGAGTTTATATCTCAATTCTGAGGGAAAAAAAGTCAGAATTGCGAGATGCAAAGTCGAAATTGAGAGTTATAGTCAGAAATGCGAGATATAAAGTCAGATTTGCGGGATATAAACTCGCAATTCCGAGAAACAAAGTCAGAATTTCAAGATATAAACTCACAATTCTGACTTTTATCTCTCACAATTGCGAGTTTAATTGTGAGTTAATTGCGAGTTATAAAGTCCAGTTCTGAGGAGAAAAAAAGATTCTGTCATAATTGCGAGTTTATAATTCACAATTCTGACTTCATTTCTCAAAATTGCGAGTTTAGCCTATATCTCACAATTCTGACATAATTTCTCACAATTAAGAGTTGATATCTCACAATTCTGAGAGAGAAAAAAGTCAGAATTGCGAGACGTAAAGTCGAAATTGCGAGAAAAAAGTCAGAATTGTGAGATAAAAATCTCAATTGCCTTTTCTTATTTTCTATTCAGTGGCGGAAACGGGTTTCCATACAATAATCTGCCACACAGAGTCCAGAATATGAATTTGATGACCGTCACTCACCAGTCAGAATAACGGAGAAGTCCCAACCACAGGACACCTGCTGAACTCTTGAGCACCCAGGCAAAGGGCAGGGCTGAAAGGTTATGACCTCTGACGTGTGACTGAGCCCTAGTTGACCTTTGAGGTTCTGTCCACACATCAGCAGCTCACCTGATTCTGGGTGGAGGAATGTTTTTGTAATACTTCAACTTGACCGCTAGAGAGCGACATTGTCTCACAAATAAAAGGTCAGCAATTCCAGAAACAGTTTCAGGATTATTTCACAAATCCTTTCAGAGTGTTCACATTCATATCTATTATTTCCAGTGTTATAGGCGCTCTAACCCGTGATGACAGCGGAATGTCCGCCTCCTCCGGTCATACAGCGGGTGTGCTCCGCCTGCAGGCCGCCGTCTGCACGCCGCGGCTCGGCTTGATCTTCCCTGTGTCCCTGTCCGAGCTGCCCGTAACTGTTGGCTCCCTGTGAGGCGAAATCACCATTTATGGTTTAGCAAGCTTTGTTTTATGTAATCAGATTGCTCATATTCATTTATATTTTGACAAATGTGAATTTCGCGTATTCTCGTGGTTTGAAAGATAGTAGTCACTGCAAGTGTGTAAGTTTTGCACAATGAAAAGTAAAAAGAAGATTATATATATATATTAAAAAAATATATATATATTGTATTTTTAATATATAGAGATATACAAAAATGTGTATATAATGACAGATATATGAAATATAAATGTTAAATATAAAAAAAAATATTTTATATACATAAACATAAATTACAAAAATTAATTATATATGAAGCACCAAACAGGAAATAATTATATAAAATCTGAATATATAAATGTAAATTGTGAATATATAGAAGTAAATCTGAATATATTTATAAATCAGAATATATAAACATAAATCAGAATATATAGCTATAATTCTGAACATATAGAAGTAAATCAGAATATATATTTAAAAATCTGAATATATAAATGTAAATTGTGAATATATAGAAGTAAATCTGAATATATTTATAAATCAGAATATATAAACATAAATCAGAATATATAGCTATAATTCTGAACATATAGAAGTAAATCAGAATATATATTTAAAAATCTGAATATATAAATGTAAATTGTGAATATATAGAAGTAAATCTGAATATATTTATAAATCAGAATATATAAACATAAATCAGAATATATAGCTATAATTCTGAACATATAGAAGTAAATCAGAATATATATTTAAAAATCTGAATATATAAATGTAAATTGTGAATATATAGAAGTAAATCTGAATATATTTATAAATCAGAATATATAAACATAATCAGAATATATAGTTATAATTCTGAATATATAAATGTAAATCAGAATATATATTTAAAAATCTGAATATATAAATGTAAATCTGAATATTTAGTTATAAGTCTAAATTTATATAGATACAAATTGTGATATAAAAGTGTAAATCACGAATATATAGAAGTAAATCTGAATATATAGTTTTAAGTACTTATAATTCTGAATATATACATGAAAGTTGCAATATAGCCTATAGATAAAAAACTGAATAAAAAAATGCAAAATATTGTGAATTTGTTTTATGTATAAAATGTGTATATAATGTGTAATAATATACAAATGTATATATTTAAAAATCTGAATATATAAATGTAAATTGTGAATATATAGAAGTAAATCTGAATATATTTATAAATCAGAATATATAAACATAATCAGAATATATAGTTATAATTCTGAATATATAAATGTAAATCAGAATATATATTTAAAAATCTGAATATATAAATGTAAATCTGAATATTTAGTTATAAGTTTAAATTTATATAGATACAAATTGTGATATAAAAGTGTAAATCACGAATATATAGAAGTAAATCTGAATATATAGTTTTAAGTACTTATAATTCTGAATATATACATGAAAGTTGCAATATAGCCTATAGATAAAAAACTGAATAAATAAATGCAAAATATTGTGAATTTGTTTTATGTATAAAATGTGTATATAATGTGTAATAATATACAAATGTGTATATTATTTTTAATAATATATAATATATATATATATATGTGTGTGTGTGGGTGTGTGTGTGTGTATATATATATATACATATACTGTATACACACACACACACACACACACACACACACATACATACATAAACTGTAAACACATTTAATATAAAACAGAAAAACATTTCTTATAGTGTGTATATATAAATGTATATATATTTTTTTTTTATTTGATATAAATTTGATATCTAATATCCTTTTTTGTAAATATATTCGAGTGACAGTCATACCATAGTTATGTTTGCTAACATCTGATTGTTTGTGTACTCACGGCTCGGGTGTGTAGAGGGGATCTGAGCTGTGTCGCACATACTGAGTGCAGTGAAACACACGGAAGGCCAGACCTGCCAGGAAGTCTCGTGGGGAGAGATACCCAGCCACAGGCCTGATGGTGAAGCCGGTGCGCTCTGAAGCAGTTCATAAAGCAATGTTATAGAGAAAAGAGTCTATAAACCCTGAACAAACCAACAATTAAAGAACTGACGTCCCTTTCTCTCACCTTTGAGGAAGCGCGAGACGTCCTCCAGCTGCGGGATGTTGTCCTCGCGGACGTCACAGTGTTTGATGAGCAAGGGCAGGTTCTTGAGGTACTCGCGGCAGGCGTGTGTGGGGTAGAGTTTATTCAGCTCCCTGAACACCACTCCCCATGTTTTCACCTCCTCCTCTGTGAACTCTATACGGGGAATGGGGTCTCCACTGATGGAAGGGCCAACATTTAATTAGACTTATATTAAATGTGTGTTACTCTTATGTTAAAGTATATTTTAAAACTCACTGTTTGTAGCTCATAGCCAAGTCTGCAAAATACTTCCTCCTTTTGCGATAGACGTTGTCCTTGAATCCCTGTCGTAACAGAATCATAACAGTGAGCAACATGATGACACCGTACTGATGCGGTAATCGAGATGAAACGTTGCCACTTACTGGATGATCCGCATCCAGGTCTGATCCGTACATCAGCACGCGGTTCGCACATTTATCCAGATCTGAAATCTTCTTCGGGAACCACGGGACGTTCTCCATCTCTGGAGAAAAAAACCAACAGTCAAATATTGAGTATTTGTATAGTAGTTTAAAAACGTCACATCTGTCTGATATTGTCATTCATTCATGTACCGCTTTCTTCAGGCAGGCGGTTGTCAGGCGCGTCCATCTCGAGCACGTTCACGTGTTTTCTCAGAAGCTGAAGGATCTCGTGCAGCTGCTCGCGGTTGCTGTCGCAGTCTACGAAGATCTCAAACTCTGAGTTGCGCCTTTTGGATTTTCTGGACTCGATGTGCACCAGGTTGACGTGGTTTTCCTGTTGATTTATATATGATGGTTAATGTTATCCTTTTTAAATCAAGTAAAGGAATATTTAAACATGCAAGAAAATCGGTCTTGCAACCCTTCACCTGGAAAAGTTTTAGTGCCTTGACAAGCCCACCAACTTCATTCTTCAAGGAGAACACAACAGCAGCCCGGCCTCTCTCTGTAGACGCGGTTTTGTTGTCTTTATTCTCCTCGATCTTTGGAAAAGCAGATTTGTTCATCTGTAAAACACAGGCAAAAAACATTAATAAATGTCAGATGAGGTCAGGTAGAATTAGGTAATCAAAGGTAATTTGTAAAGCTGAAAATTATATAGATTCACATGATTTATGTGTAGCATCAACATCTTCAGCTCACTTTAAATCCAACCCTAAGTCATGTGCTCATGGCTTGTCAATCAGATCATGTGAATTAAAGTGTGTGGTAAACAACACTTAATCCCTTTTAAGGTCACACTTACAACTTTATTTGTATTCGTCTAAAGGTTTTGAACTTTCCTGTTAAGAGTGCAAAACTTTAGGATCATGTTATAAAACAACATAAAAAAAATAATAAAAAGAAATAAATAATAAGTTATAACTTATAATAAGTAGTTTTTATGAAAATAAATAATACATCAATTATATACACACACACACACACACACACACACATACATAACATACATAGATACATACATAGCTAAATTATATATAAAAAATAAATAAATATAAGTTTTTGTGAATTTATTACAGTGATAGCCATACTATCATAATTTATAGGCATTCTGTCATTTCTGCTCATTTTTTTCAACACTATTAGATTTAGAACACTAGTTTCAACACTATTAGATTTAGAAGTGAAATTCAAAGTGGTCAAAAAGTGCAATTAACTTCACTCCAGGATGCCACTTTGATTAGACTGTTTTGAGACAGCAATTAAACTCCGATTTTAATTGTAGTCATTTTTACAGTTTGTAGTTTTACACATTAAAATAAAAAAAAAATTACTAAACATTGGTCACTGAGGGGTTCGTTTTCAAATAATCTTAAACTACAACAAACTCCAGTTGCGAACAGGTCATCTGATTAAAGGTGCTGGTTCCTGTGTCAGTTCAGCACCGTGGACAGCGACAGTCATCATGACCTGCTTAACATAAGTACCAGCAGAGGGACGCTCCGCGAGCCCTGCCCCAAGGTTGCAGACGTGGGATTAAGTCCAAGAAATCACACCGATAATTATGATTAGTGATATAAGAAATATATAACGTATATGAAGTACATACATCCATGCGCATTTAATTTTTTTTTTACATATTTTTACATGTTAACATATGTAATGTAAATATTTAAATAATTTATTTATTTAATTTATATATTTAAATAATGTAAATGTTTACATATTTTAAATGATATGTTATGTTGTTTTACATATTTAATTACATTTATTGCATTTGCATTTCTGAAAATCTACCGAGCACGACAGAATGACCATCACTCCTTCAATGGCAACAGAGTTCAAACAAAAATGCCAAAAGGTGTCTAGAAAATCTTTAATATTAAATAAATAACTAGCATCACATAGTATTAAATAAATAAGTAATAATATTTAATAAATAATATTTGCATTTAATATTGAGTCATATAAGAATTAATCATTTAATTGAATTGAATTTCTGTGAGAGAATGACAATCAGCTCCTTTACTAGAAATTCATACAAAAATGCCAAAAGATCTTTAATAATCTTTAAACAAATAATTAGCATGAAATAGTATTAAATAATTAATTATAATAAAATGAATAATCTTCTCATTTCATACATTAAACATGCATTGCTTTTTATTTAATACTAAGCTATATAATAATTATTCATTAAAAATGTAATTTAATTTCTAAACTATAAAAAGAAAAGTTTAATTGACCCTCAAACTATGCTTGTCGCCTACTGACCATGTTTCTTTTATCGCGCACGTGGGAGAGTAATCGTCTCTGTCCTCGTCTTCCCGACAGCAGGATTCCCGACAGCATTAGTGAGTTGACCGTGGCAGGGTTCAGAGTACTGTGATTCACCGTCTCGGTTTAACAAAGAGGGGCCAGTGTCTGTCGTCTTAAAACAATCTCATTTGGACAGCGAGGAAGCCTATTATTAGCACCCTCTTGTTTTAATCTAACACTGGGATTAGGCTGCAATTAATCACTCTTCCACGCACATCTCTGTTAAGTGTATTTAATTTGATGCATCTTTAGATTTGGTGCGAGGAGGATTGGAACATCTTATTGCTAACGGTGTCAAGCATGGATGTGTGAATGGAGAGCTTTTGTGCACTTGAATAGCAGTGCACCATGGGATCTGTCAACTTCAGTTTCCTCCACATTTGACATTTTAGGAATCTATGCTTCCTGGAAATCTGCATTTGGCATTATAAACCTTAAATAACTTCTTTTTTTTGCATAGAAACTCTAGTTTTATATGAACCCCCACCTGTTGAAAACTTAAATTCTCACCTGAGTAACTATTATAAAAGGTAATATAATTATAAAATGTATGCAAATCAACCAAATGAGTAAACAAATAGTTTGCCATTTAAAATGATAGAAATAATGGAGAAAAAGCGCTTACCTCATTGTTAAGTTGCTTCTCTTCCAATGTCAGACCAAGGTTTATGGAGTCAAAAGATCTTCCTCTGCGCGGTCCCTCGCTTTTAGTTGAGTACATGCTGATGTTTCTTATTATGTCAACGAGTTTGTCAGTCTTTTAACTGGATGTGCTACAATTGTTGTAATACAATGAGACTGTGCGGTTTGCTATTTATGAGGCTCTGAAGAGGGGGAGGAGGGGTGGCGAGTTAATCTTCCTCCTGGCAGCAAATGGAAAATGAGCAGCTTCTCACGTCATGTGGATATTCATATGAGAGACATACCTTTTCATATTCTCTTTGACGTTCTGCACACAAAAAGATCTGTGTGAGGAGAGCCACGCGGGAGGAGTTAGGGACAAAAACACCCACAGGACACCAAAAAGTCTTTCTTGAAATCTCTCTTATCTGTCTGCTCATGAAAAAACAAATATTATGAGAGCATAAGCCAGTCATTTTGTGGCCACACAATTGTATATGCTAAAACACATTTTATTTTATTTGCAAATTAGTGCTGCCAAACAATTCATCGCGATTAATCACATCCAAAATAAAAGCTTGTGTTTACATAATATATGTCTGTGATCTTGATCATGCACACATTGTACCCACTCACGATACTCACGATTTGTTTTATTTTTTATAAGACAAATTATAAAGGAAAAGGTGTTACTTTTATTATTGTTTGGACAAAATGCTGCACATTTCTTTGAGAAATTGAAATATGTCAAATTACAAATCTAAATTGAAATTTTATAACACAAATGAAAACAATATAAACAAATTAAGGCTTTGCCTGGGCTCATTCACCTGTCAAGTTTGAGATTTGGGGCTTTTTGGTTTTTCATAAAGTGTTTTTTCAGACTAGTGGAAAGAAAACATCCAAAAGACACTGTTAAGTGTTTCTTTTATAGCACTTTATCTATTTGTGTCAATAGATTTCAATTACAATACATATTTTAATAATTACAATATATATACAGTGGGTACGGAAAGTATTCAGACCCCCTTAAATTTTTCACTCTTTGTTATATTGCAGCCATTTGCTAAAATCATTTAAGTTATTTTTTTCCTCATTAATGTACACACAGCACCCCATATTGACAGAAAAACACAGAATTGTTGACATTTTTGCTGATTTATTAAAAAAGAAAAACTGAAATATCACATGGTCCTAAGTATTCAGACCCTTTGCTGTGACACTCATATATTTAACTCAGGTGCTGTCCATTTCTTCTGATCATCCTTGAGATGGTTCTACACCTTCATTTGAGTCCAGCTGTGTTTGATTATACTGATTGGACTTGATTAGGAAAGCCACACACCTGTCTATATAAGACCTTACAGCTCACAGTGCATGTCAGAGCAAATGAGAATCATGAGGTCAAAGGAACTGCCCGAAGAGCTCAGAGACAGAATTGTGGCAAGGCACAGATCTGGCCAAGGTTACAAAAAAATTTAAGTTTAAATTTAACTTAAGGTTCCTAAGAGCACAGTGGCCTCCATAATCCTTAAATGGAAGACATCTGGGATATATATATATATATATATATATATATATATATAAAAAATTAAATGATGGCAAACTTTTAAAAAATATTGTGTGTTTATGTATAAATATAGATTTATATAAAAATGTTTATATATTTTCATTTTATATATAAAAATGTGCAGGTGCCACAGTGTTTACCAACATTATGCAGCACAAAACAAAACTTTCATGCTTAAATAGAACACCGGAAGTCTAGTGTGACCAAAGGCTAAAACTAATTCTGACATAGATCACCATCTACTTCCAGAAGCTGTGATGTCCCACACGTGTCAGAGTTTGGGGTGTGTGGGCAGTGTGTAAACTGAGGAAAACTCACCTGGTGGAAGGCAAACAAACTCCTATCAACAGCACGGGGTGTGTGTGGAGAAGGTTGAGGACTGCTGCTAGATCAAAGCCTGAGCTCCAGGGGTCTGGAGACCACACGGATGCTGTGCTGTCATGACTGATGAGCGCAATGTCAAAGCCTCAGGAGCCTTTGAACAGATTTACGCCAGATGTGATGACAAACGAGCTGTGACAGACAGAAAAGTGAACACTGGGCAACATAAAAGGGAATCTTTGTAGAGCACAGCAGATCCACTGGGAATTTGTTATTTAAATGGCTGTCAGCTTCAGGCTGAGAAATCACTCCGTTCTGATATTTCAAAGGCTGGGAGGGTCGCAGGTTCAACAGACCCTGTTTCTGTTCATGCAGACGGGCTGTCATTACTGATAGACATCAACCTGTTCCTGAAGGCTTCCTAACACTGGAAAAACACTTCTGACTTTACACATTTACCACGTCAGGTACAAGATAAACAGGTTTAAAGGCAAACAGAAAGAAAGAAAGGAAAAGGATGTTATGATGTTAAAGCATGAAAATTATGTCATTATTTACTCACTCATACCCTGTTTCCAAACCTGTTGTTATTTCTCTGTGGAACACAAACAGAATTTTTGGAGGGAGAGAGAAAAAAAAATCCTTGACACTGCTTTAATTTCCTATACAAATATTAATAATGCATATTTTAGGACTGTTAAGGTTATTTTCACTGTGATAAATGTATTTCTTAATTTCTTGACAGTTATGGTTTATGCTAACAGCTGAGCAACAGCAAACAGCCCACTGCTATAGGAGCACAGCAGATCCACTGGGAATTTGTTATTTAAATGGCTGTCAGCTTCAGGCTGAGAAATCACTCCGTTCTGATATTTCAAAGGCTGGGAGGGTCGCAGGTTCAACAGACCCTGTTTCTGTTCATGCAGACGGGCTGTCATTACTGATAGACATCAACCTGTTCCTGAAGGCTTCCTAACACTGGAAAAACACTTCTGCCTTTACACATTTACCACGTCAGGTACAAGATAAACAGGTTTAAAGGCAAACAGAAAGAAAGAAAGGAAAATGATGTTATGATGTTAAAGCATGAAAATTATGTCATTATTTACTCACTCATACCCTGTTTCCAAACCTGTTGTTATTTCTCTGTGGAACACAAACAGAATTTTTGGAGGGAGAGAGAAAAAAAATCCTTGACACTGCTTTAATTTCCTATACAAATATTAATAATGCATATTTTAGGACTGTTAAGATTATTTTCACTGTGATAAATGTATTTCTTAATTTCTTGACAGTTATGGACACACACACACACACACACACACACACACAAATCCAGAAGAACTGTGACAAAGTCTCCAAGATGCTTCAAGAAACCTATACCTGCAAAGCAACAGTACTGTTAAAAGTTTTAGGCACTTGTGTAAAAATGCTGTAAAATGAGGATGCCGTCAAAAGTAATGTCATAGATTTTCTTTATTAATTAACTAAATTAAATCAACATTTGGTGTGAGCATCCTTTGCGTTTAAAGCAGCCTCTGCCCTCGGTGCACTTGCGCATAGTTTTTCAGGTAGCTGTGCAGGTAGGTCTCTTGAAGCATCTTGGAGACAGCTCTTCTGGATTGAGTCGGTCTCAGTTTGTTCTGTTTCTTCATGTAATTTCAGACAGACTGGATGATGGTGAGATCAGATCTCTGTGTGCAGCACTGGCTGTTGTCAGACTCCTTGTGCAAACAAAAATCTCACTGGATTATTACAATTAATAGCAAAATGAATGTTTGGAAATGTAAACTGATATTTCCTACTGACACACTACAGCAAAAGATAGAAATAACTGACGTAAAACCATTTTTTAGCCGGTATCTTTAAACAGTTCCATCAAGTATGAGATGGCATCAGAGTTATTCTGGGAAGTCCAGCGTGAGCCGAGAGAAAGTTTCATTGTGTGCTTGTTGACAGGAGAGATAAACAGCAGCTGAAGGAGGCTGTGATGAGAGGCAGCTCCACGGCCCTGAATGAGCTCCAGCGCACAAGCAGCTGGACGAAGGAGTGAAACACAGACGTACGTGCCAGAGAGCACAATGCAGACGTGTGTCACGTGACTGCTGACTACTCATTCATCTTTAATGACATGCATTGTTGAGTTCCTACCTGATCCTGTTGTCTATTCTTCAAATGGAATTTCTGAGGTAATCAATCGTAAAGATGCCACTGAATTTAAATGAACCAGTGGCTCCTACCACTACATTATATGACAGTGTTTCAGACTTTTAGTAGACATGCAGTGGCCCCAAAAGCATTTTGGACATTTAGGCCACACTTAAAGCCAACATAAAACGCTGTTTGTAACTGATTTTACCCAAGGTAGATGTGAAAAAATGTTGAGCGGGAGCTAATTTTAACAAATAAATTAATTGGACTGAGAAAAGAGTGAGTTACGTACAGAATGGAGTACAGTGATTGGAAAACAGGGGTTAAAAATAAGATAGATTCCTGAAAATAAATATTTAGATGTACATTTTGATGAAAGATTACAAAGACAAAAATGCGTTTCATTGGAATATGAACCAATGAATCAATCAAAATAACATGATCAGTAATGTGTATTAAATAGTAAATACTGTCAAATTTGACTGTAAAAATGTCTAAAATTAAAGAAAAATCTGTATGATTTTTTTCAGTGTTCTCTTGTGCTTACCGATTTTATTTCATGCACAGTACAAACACTAATATTATGAAATAATATTACAATTTAAAAACACTGTTTTCGATTTGAATATATTTAAAAAAGTAATTTATTCTTGTGATGCAAAGCTGAATTTTCAGCATCATTACGCCAGTCTTCAGTGTCACATGATCCTTCAGAAATCATTCTGATTTGCTGCTCAAGAAACATATTAATATTATTACTATAATATCAATGTTAAAAACTGGTTTGCTGCTTAATTATTTTAGATTTAATATTTTTTCAGGATTCTTTAGATTTAATATTTTTTCAGGATTCTTTGATGAATAAAAAGAAAAAATAGATTTTTTTGGTAATAATATAAATGTCTTTACTGTCATTTTTGATCAATTTAATGCATCCTTGTGGATTAAAATTATTATTTTTAAATCTTACTGACAATAAACTTTTGAATGGTGGTGTATAAATAAAATACATATTTATAAAAAAAATAATAATAACAAAAAAATGTAAAACAAGTGGCATCTGCAAGCAAATTATGCGGAACTTTTCCCAATTTATTCTATCATCTGAAACTCTTGAGCATTTCTGCTAAAAATATGTAATTAAAAACAATTAACAACATGGCTCAGTTACTGAATGAGACATTTGAGGTATGACTTTTACTGGCTGTTGCACACATCTAGCATGGAGGACTAGTTAGTGGGCGATGTACCATTTTAGGTCATGTTGCACACCATCAAGTCAGGAGTTCTGGGCATCAGAGAGAAGATGTTTGACAGCTGCCAATCATCTATGTTTACGCTTTAACTTCTATGAACAGCACTGCTTCTGTCTTAACCAGTCCTCCGTCAACTCGTATTAGTAGAGCGTTCACTCATACACGCAGTGGTCTGGATCGAACCAACTCTAAGTGCTTCCTCACCCTGGGGTGCGTCTGTCAGATCAGCCTCAGGTAGATCTAAAAACAGACACATGTCAATCAAAAGTCCTTGTATACCTGAGCATCTGGCCATTTCAGGCCAACCAAGATTCCCTCAAAAACAACAAAAGCCAGCGGCTCGAAATCACGCAAACGTGGTTAAAATTAGCCCCTGTCCGTTTTACATTCAGTCCGGGTCGAGATCCCAGCTGAGTGTCTGGCTGTGTCTCTCTCAGGTCCTCCTCCTACACACCAAATTTCCATAAGAATGCAGCACGCTCTGCATATCAATCCAAACTCTTAATTAAAGAGCTGCTATATTCCTGCTGGCGTCACACACGCGGGAAGTGCGCAGTAGACCCTTTCTCCCCGTTCTGATGGCCATTTGGAACGCAAATGAGGGAGGCGATCACACGCTCATTTAAGGGACACCTGATGGAGAACACTCGGTAAACACTCGAATGTATGCAGCCAAGTGTGCGTATAAAAAAACCTCAGCGCACTAATCTTTTAGTTTGAAGCATAACACAAATTAAGTAACGTAAAATAAATTGGAAACTATTCCATTAACTACAGTATGTTGTGCATTTGGAAATATCCAATTAAATAAAAACAATTACTCCATACAAAACACAATCTGCAAAACATCTTTTGTTTACTAAATAGAAATGCTGGTGTATACAAACAAAACGATAATATACACAATTGAAACAAATATTTTAAGATATAACGAAAGCCATTTTATTTTTTGTTGTATCAAAACAAAAGACGAGTCCTTTTATAAGGAGATGAACTTATCTCCAGTCTTTTGGGTCGGAGAACTTCGCTGAAGAATGTTTCCTTTTAGATGCTTCAGCTTGACACATTGGTTGAAATAGAAAAGTCCTTTTTTATAATGTCTGCCAGTTTCGGTTCCACTTCTGACAACAAGCTAACCAGGTGCTGGACCTGTAGATGAGATGAGAAAAGACGAGAAGCTCTGTGATCATTGAGGGCCTGTAGGAGCAGCGAGAAAGACAAAAAACAAAAAAGAGAGAAGAACGTACCGCCGTTATATGTTGAGGTACGAGGGTGCCAACAGCAGACACACAGCTTCTCTCTGTCAAACACCCTTCCTTGACTATAGATGACAACAGATCCTGAAGATTAAAGGGAATTTTCAATCAATTAATATGTAATATATTTAACATTTGTATGTTTTAATTTAGTCATTTTTATATTTACATAATATAATACAATATATATTTTTTGGAATGTGCTTGTATTTAATATACTATATATATATTAATTTAAAATTGTATAATTTATTATTTTTTAAATATAATATTTTTATAGTGCAGCCAAACGATTAATCACATCTAAACTAAACGTTTTTGTTTACATATGCGTGTATACTGTGTATATTTATTATGTATATATAAATACACACACATGCATGTGTATTTCAGAAAAATAGGTTATGTTTATATATTAAATATATTTATTCATAATTAGTGCTGTCAAGCGATTAATCGCATCCAAAATAAAAGTTTGTGTACATAATATTTATGAGTGTACTGTGTATATGTATTATGTATATAAAAATACACACAAATACAGTATATATTTAAGAAAAAGTGTTGTTTATATATTAAAAATATTTATATATAATATAAATTATATGAATATAAATATATTCATGTAAATATTTTCTAAATATATACTGTGTGTGTGTGTGTGTGTGTGTATTTATATATACATAATAAATATAAACAGTACACACACATATATTATGTAAACAAAAACTTATTTTGGATGTGATTAATCACGATTAATCGTTTGACAGCACTATTCATAATATAAATTATATCAATATAAATATAGACAAGTAAATATTCTCAAAATATATACTGCATGTGTGTGTATTTATATATACATAATAAATATACACAGAACACACGCATATATTATGCAAACAAAAACGTTGATTTTGGATGCGATTAATCGTTTGACAGCACTAAATATAATATATTATAACATGGTATCAAGTTAGAATTTAATAATGTATTACTATTTTGTAAACTGGATAGCTGCCAGTTTCACCTTATTCAGTTGCATAAGGACGGCTGAGAGGAACTCTGCTGTGGTTTCGACTAAAGCCTTGAGCTGTTCATCTTCCTCTTGCTTCACTTCTTCTTTCTGACTCTCTTCCGATTCGGAGTTTTCAGCTGTTCGGCTCTGACGCCATTCAGTATTGAACTGCAGAATGCGAATAAGACTTCCTAATAATTCTGTACCTGTTAAGAATAAACACACATTATGAAACCGAAACAGCAATACAATAGCAAACTTTAAACAAACACCACAATGCCTCTCATGAAGCAATGAATCTGATATGTTAAAAGTGTGTGTTTCGTACTGATAGCTGTCTGCAGGCTGGAGTGTAACGCTGAGAGTAAGGCGAGCGCTGGGGCCAGGAGAGCTTTCTGCTCCTGCAGGATGAGAGGAGGATCGTCTGCTTGACATAAATCCTCACATACTATCTTACACACAAACGTCCACACCGCGTGACCACAAGCTCCATCTGATACTGTAGACAAGGTAAAAACAAGAAATCATTGCAAATCATCATATTAGAATGATTTCAGAAGGATCATGTGACACAGAAGACTGGAGTAATGAGGCTGAAAATTTAGTTTTTGGATCACAGGAATAAATTACATTTTTAAATTGTTGTAATAATAAATGATTGTAATAATACTTCAAAATATTACTGTTTTACTGTATTTTTGATCAAATAAACGCAGCCTTGGTGAGCATAAAAGACTGATTATCAGAGAAGGAACGCCAATGTGTAGCTCAATTATGTAATTGCCCCTAAAAAAACTTAAATTAATTTTCAGGGTCAAAGAGGGTCAGTGTGTGTGTCTCACCCAGAGCCTGCATGCCCTCTTCTACTGTAGTCAGAAGCTGGAGTGAATGAAGATACACTTCAAGAGCCTCTGGACTTTCTGACCTACAACACAAAAAATTTGAATGAGCCTAAAAGCATATTTCAAAAACAACATTGATCTGATTCAGATGGAACACCTTCTGTTACTCTAGCAGCAGACAGAGGAATAGGTTGGTAAATGCCTCGGACAGACAGACGTACAGAAGGTCACATCACCTTAATTAATATGTCTCACCTAAGCTGTGTGGCCGCCTCAAGCAGAGAAGACGCGATGTCCTGCTGTGTGTCCTTGTTTGGGTCACTGTCGCTGGCTGGGGTGGACACCCAACTCTTCATCATCTCCTCATCCTCATCAAAGAGCTTATCCACCAGCTCCCCAACCTTAACCAGCAAATCCACTGCAGGGAGAGATTAACTTTAGTGTCCCAATACTTGAGAGGCACAAATCTGTTTGATAAACTTTTATCTAAGATGAATTTAAACTAGCATTAAAACACATCAAATGTATGCATTTTAAATTTCTGTTTTGATTTGAACATAAATGTCAATTAAAGTAAAATATATTTTTTAAATGTTAGCTTTGATGAATTTAAAACTTTAAATGAAAATATAACCTTTATTATATATTATTTTATACATTAACGTTTTATTAACATTTTAAGAATGACCTAAATTTAGTCATTAATTAGCTATAGAAAGTTATTGTTAGAAAGAAATTAACAAATTAGTTCTCTTTAATATATACTTATTAATAACTACAAGCCAACATTTGGTCACAAAATAGCTAGTGAAAAAAATTAATGAACAAAAGTTAATAAAATTGTTAATAATAATAATTATTATTTGTATTATTGTTTATTGCTAAAACATAAAAACACACAAATAAAAATAAATAAATATGAATTGATATTCAATTAACTGAAGCACTTTTTAATGTCATCTTTTTAGTGAATTTAAAATATGAAATTAATAGTGCTGTCAAACAATTAATCGTGATTAAACGCATCCAAAATAATTTTTTTTGTTTACATAATATATGAGTGTGTACTGTGTATATTTATTATGTATATATAAAAATACAAACACATGCATGTATATATAAGAAAAATATGTTGTTTATATATTAATTATATTTATATATATAAATATATATACATGTAAATATTTTCAAAATATATACTGAATGTGTGTGTATTTATATATACATAATAAATATACACAGTACACACTCATATATTATGTAAACAAAAACTTTTATTTGGGATGTGATTAATCGCGATTAATCGTTTGACAGCACTAGAAAAAGAAAAAAAATTAACTATTAAATATTATTTATATAATAAATATTAACAATAATAAAATTTATAATAAAAAGGTTAAAGTTATTAATTAGCAGTAGTAGCATAGATGTGTAATTCATTGCTAAAAAACTAAAATCACACATGAAAAAAATAAATAAATATGCATAAGTTTGGGGGAAAAAACAAACAAATTTCTGCTTAATTTCTTAAGAGTTTCAGGCACTTTTTGTGCCTATTTGTTGAAAGCACCATTAGCAACATTTGTAAACATCACTGACCATTGGTGGAGCTGCTCATGATGAAACACAGACTGCCACACACCGCCGGCTGCTGCCGTATCCTCTCCAGCCACAGAGGGGCGACATCAGGCTGAGACAGGCACGTTAGCAGGAGCCTGAGGAGGCCACAGTGTTGCATGTCACATACCCACATTCAGTAAAATGCAGCATGTATTGTAAAAGTTTTCTTCGAATTTTGTAACAGGGCTTTATCAGCACTGACCTGCAAGTCTCCAAGAGCGTAGGTGGATCATTGTCCCCGAGCAGAAGAAGTAACACAGAGCTGAGATATACAGAGAACATGTCAGACATGAATTAGTAGTATTGTATTTACAGAAGTAGCTGAATTATTCTGAAGTAAACAGAGTTACCACATTAGTAGTATTGTATTTACAGAAGTAGCTGAATTATTCTGAAGTTAACAGAGTTACCACAGGTCAGAGCTCTGGCTGAGAGATACACATGTGTCGTGGAAACAGGCCATATTACCCAGAATTCCAACACAGATTTCCTGTAACAAAAGCTCTGAGTAATTATATGAAGTCATAGGCATACAAGCATTATGTAAAGCAGTTACAGTGGTGAAATGTCTATGCATACCGTGAGCCGCGGACTACGTGACTTTGCGATCACACCCAGCAAGATGTCTTGAGCTTTGAACTCCTGAAGAAAAACAGCCACATCCTAGAGAGAAAACACATGTAATGTATATGTAGATGGTGGGCATGGAGCAGGGGGATGAATACAGTGTGTTTCAGTTGACCTTATCCATAGCCATGTCCCAAACTTTACACAAGTCCTCCTCCAGATCATCTGTCAGTTCCACTGAAGAATCACTCGGCCCACTTTCCTGATCGGTCACCATCTAGAAGGTAATTGAAGTATATATTAAGAAAGAAATGAAGGAATTGCACAGCTTCAAGAAAACTTGTTGATAGATGGATGGATGGATGGATATATAGAAATAAAAAAGGGGGTCAAATTATATTTAATTTTAAAACCCATACAACACACATACAAAGAAACACAAATGATTTCATTTCATTTTTAAATGTATTTATGTTTTATTTATTCATATATATATGTGTGTACTGTGTGATCTCACTTCCCAACCTTTGATGGGAAAGAATTCCTTTTCCACGGAGACAGTATTTATGTGCTTTTAAAAGTGTGTTCTCAATACTCAGACTGATACTTCCTCATTTCCTTTCTCCCTCATCCTCCAGCCTGTGCCACAGAAACTGATCAAAGTCAGTGGACCTGAAGGACATCTCAATACTCTTATTGCACTGTGGCAAGGTGAGAAACAAGGAGTAAGGAAGCTTCCAGAGGAGCTATGAGTGAGGATACACATGTGTATATAAAGTGGAAGTCTTTTTGAAAAACCTGATGCGTTTAAAGGACATTTAAACTTAAATAGCTGATCTAGTTTGAACCTGCTGATGAGATTTCCTCCACTTTGACTGTAAAATGTTATGAAACATTCAATATTTTTAATTAAAGTATACTTCACCCATTCAGTTTGCGATCTTGAGCAATGTCTTGTGAAGAAATGTGATGTGGGATTTGAATTAGCATTAAACTGAAGACAGTTGCTGTTGATATGATGGTGAGTAAATCATGACAGAATTTTCTCTGCAAGCAATTTCCAAAATTTTTTTCCAGTGTCCAAAGACGTCTGTGTGTACAATAACAGTGAGTACAAGGTGAACTGATGGGTTCATTTGTTTATATTAATGAACTATCATATACAATTAAGTGTAAGCATTTGCATTATCATTATATAGTCAAAATATAATAAGGGGTTCACTCCAAGGGGTTTAAATATGTGAAAAAATAAGGAGAGTGCTGCTGTGGATCATGTAGACAAGTGGCCTGCATTTATGATGCACCAGACAAAACCAGACATGTTTTCAAGGTACATTTCTTCCTTCTTTCAGTTCATCAGACAAAGCATCTGCTCTGCTTTTCAGTCCTCATAGAGTCTGTCTGTCTTTTGTTAGTTTGGATAAGTCCACAGTTATAAATTTGAAACTGTTCCCTGTCATGAAATTGATGGCTCGTTTATGACTGAAAGGAGATCTGAGAAGTGCCCTTATTTGAGTTCACTTGACTGTAAACCTGAGGTTATGTAGCTTTGTTCACCAGCACACACAGCGTGAGCCGTTATGTCTTATTCATGGACAGACGATAAGAACTGGATTCACAAAAAAATCCAACTTTAAGAAGTTCTTTACAAAGATTTTTAACAACAATCTGTTCATGAAGTTATAAAATAAGTGGGATGTTCTTTTTAATGAGTCTTTAATGAGTTTTTAATGAGTGAATAATTAAACTACGAACTTCTTTTCAAGTGCTTTGAATATGTGAAAGAAGACGGAGAGTGCTGTGGAACATGTAGACAAAGATGTTGTATTTATGTATAATGCACCCAGACATATCCTCCAGGTACATAGTCAAACTTTCTCAATGTTTTCTTAATTCTTTCAGTTCATTACACAAAGTATCCGTGCTGTTTTTCAAACCTCATATAGCCTGTTTAGGTTCAAGGGGCGTATAAGTTCAAATGTACGACAGGTACCTGCAATGAAGTTAATGGCTCACTTGCGATTGTTAAAAAATGCCCCGACTTTAATCCAAATGACTGTGTGCCTGTAAGCTTGTATTTTGTATTACTGTTGCTTTCTGCTACTGCTTAAGTTTGGATGTGTGGCTTTGACATATTATAGTTTTTCTTATTTTCTCCAGACTAAGGTCAATGCTGTCAAAACAATTAACACAGCCAAAGAAACATAACCCTAATTTAACAAAACAAAAAAATTGCATTTGGGCTTTTTTAATATATCAAAGAAGGGGAAAATTCTGCCATCATTTACTCACCCGAATGTTGTTCCAAACAGTGAAAGGGGTTTATTTATTAAGAAAAAAAAATCAAAAGTAACTTGTGTGCTTTATTCTTCTTTACAGTATGTGAGGAACAGACCAAAATTTAAGTAGTTATTTCCTAAAAACCTTGTTTGAGAGCCACGATCAACATTCACTTTCATTGTACAAAAAAGACCAGCTTGGAAAATCTGCTCTAAATAATAGCTCTCGTGTTTCATACAAGAGAGAAATTAATACCGGGTGAGTTACTGATGACACAATGGGGTGAAATATGAAATATTATTTTAATACTCTAAATGGCTGTGTTAACGGTCTGTACTTCGGGCTTGACAATTTTGTGTATTGTTTCAAGAAAATATGTAAATATTGCATGAAAGTATGCAATATGTTTTGGAAAATTTGATAAATTTTTTAAGCGATTTGAATTTGATTTGACCATACTTTGTGAAATGTGTAAATACTGTTTTCTATTATTAGTCCTGTCTCTACATACCTCTGTTATCTCTCAGGTGAAACCAGCAACTGTATTCTTGAGAAGAACATCACCCGTCTGCATGTCAATGATTGCACTTCCATCGAGGATGTAGAAGTTACATCCTGCACTGGCCACTGTGACACCAAATCAATGTGAGAGCGTTGCATCCCTGTTGATCACAAATATATTCTTTTTTCATAAGACCTCCTTTCTGAACACTTAACAATGAACAGTAATTATCAATATTAATAAAATATATATAAAAAAGGATAACAGCATTGCAAATTAAGACTCATTTAAGCTGGTGCTCAGTAGGGACAATCTAGTTTGGGACCAAATGTTGATTTGTTTGTGATTGACAGACTTATATTTCCCATGAATTAAATAAAAATACTTTTTTTTTCTTTGGCAACAGGATTGAGACATATCAATGTATTTTCTATAATGATATTGGATATCAATTCAACAGACTATGTTTTAACAACAACAACAAAAAAAGTGTTTGTGTTCATATTTTTTCCATGTATTCAATGAAATTCCTAAATTTTTAAGCCTACTTTTCCTTCCAATGAAGTGAATTAAAATCACAATAAAGCATCAATTACAGTCCCCTGGATTTTTTTCCAATAAAATGCCTGTGAATGCACTGAAATAAAACCACCAGCACTAGATATCTCACAATGATTGAAGTACAAAGACTTTAAAGGTTTTAGACTTTAGAAGGTTTACAGATCATCTCCAGTATATGGTTTCATATTTATAGTGAAAATGCATAAGTCCTAAAACTTAGTCCATGTTTCCCATATTGTAGACGTGTCTTTGAGACAACGCGCAAACGAATGCAACTGAAAATATTAGTGCAAATGCAATTGAATATTTTTTCTCCTTCCCTGAAATTACTCTTGTACTGTTCTGAACTCAGTATGATGACCGAGGCAATATACTGCAGTCTTACACTGTACATACACAACATTCATGTCAAATGAGGCAGTGTCAATAGAAACTTGACGCAGTACAACCAATGTTGGTTTATCTAATCAATGTTTTATATTTGTTCCCTCCCTTTGCCAACAATGTTGCCCGGTTTCATAAGGGCATTTTCTGAAGAACAGCTGTTTATCATGCTATATATACTATATACTATATATTCTTATACTTGCGTTTGCAGTGTTGCAAAAAGGTGGAGCCTTTGGATCAGACCTCACTTTGCATGCACATCAAAAGCCTGATGTTTGCCTTTGGAGGAACTTTTGCTGTACTGAAGGAAGTTGTTTGATGGCTTGGGCAGATCTCAATATCACAAAATTATTATATTTGCTGCTGATTGAAGGCTGAGGGCCTGAATTTAGGGGAGAGTGGGGACGGTTGCAACACTTTTTGCATTTCCTTTAGTTTCTCAGAGAGGATTTTAATACAATGAAGCCACATCTGTCAGCTACTCACACACACTACTGTAATGTGTACATATGATAAAGTCAAATGTTGTAACTAACCCCATAAGAGGGGACAGTTGCAACAGTACACAGGGGCAGATGCAACATTAATTCAAATGTAATTAAAATAATTTCTTAAATATCATTTTGCGATTTCTTTGTTTTATTTGTGCACAGACAGGGTCTTCAATAAGTTAAATTGGCTGTATAAAAACAAAGAATAGGCTAGTAAATGGAAAAACATTTTAAAGTAACAAGTAACAATCATGTTTTGGTTAATTATTACAACACATCTGAACTACAAAATATTAATTTAATCAAAATCAAGACACTGAAATTTAATAATAGCCTACTTCTGTTAACATCTGTGAAAGTTTACTGAACTAGGGCCAGTTGCATAAACATAGCCACTATGTTTGACTAACTAGCAGTTAACCTGGTAATCAGTCTTACTTTAAAAAATTCAAAAATAGACAAATCTACCATTTCATGTATCTGACTTTATAAGTGTGTGTGTGTGTGTAAGACAAAGAGAGTGTGAGAGTGAAGGAAATTAGTCCACCTTAGACTCGACAAAATAATGATCTTTAAAAAAGCATCATATGACCCCTTTAACCTATTTACTTACTGTAAATATAAAAGGTAAGATATCTGACTATTGAAAGGGATTCTTTACCAATCCATAAAATTGCAATTTTGTAATGTTATGGCAAGTGTTGTGGTAAGGGACAGCATGTTGGGACGGTTGCAACAGCGTGCTGCATCTGTCCCAACACTGACAGCTGTGATAAAACTTGGTATATTAGCTTTACACAATATCTTTGACATATGCAAGCTATGCCTATTAGAAGCTAAGAAAACACAGATTAAAATTATGTTTTTACAAAGCTTCACGCAAACAACGTAGTATGACAAAACATCAGGGCCCGTATTCACAAAACATTTTATCTTACCACTAAGAGTTCTCCTAAATAGCAGTAAAAGTTTTTAGTTAAGAGTTTTCTCTTAAAACCTATTCACAAATCTGCTGAGAAAAACTTTTACTAAGGAATAGACAAAAGTCTTAAAGGGGTCATATGATGCGATTTCAATTTTTCCTTTCTCTTTGGAGTGTTACAAGCTCTAACACGCGTTCTAACACGCCCCCACATGTCACGATGTGGGAAGATTTGCATAACGCCACCCAAATGTTCACACAAAGAAAGAAGGCATAACTTTTATTCTCGCTGTATTATTGTTGTTGCTGTGTGTTTCATTGTGAAAGTGAAACTACTTTGTTTGGCCTTCCAAAAGAGGATGATATCTGATCCGAGCTGATCCATGCTGGTCGCTGAGGGAATACATCAACTTCACGCTGTGGATCGCTGGATTGGCTTTCACCATGGACGAAGCGGAGTCCAGTCCGGGGTCGTCACATGTGGTTGCCACAAGCCCGCCAGCCGCTCCTTCGTCGAATCCACCGGCTGCGCCATTCTCAAGCCCGCCGGCCATTCCTCACTCTTGGCCTCCGGCCTCCGCTCACTCAAGCCCGCCGTGTGTGACGCTATGTTTCGTTGTGAAAGTGAAACTACTTTGTTTGGTCTTCCAAAAGAGGACACGAATAGAAATCAGTGGTTAAGTTGTATTTACAACACTGTTCCAGAACACTTCAACCCAAATATTCAGATGTGTGCAGCACATTTTATGGAGGACTGTTTCCTGATCCTGGGAGAGTAGACTACAATGCCGACTGTTCTGACTCACAGACTGAAAGTAAGTTTTTTATATTTAAAGAATTTGCCACTGACGATTCAAACGCGAGTTTTTTGGGCAGTGTAGAGTGGCATTTGTCATTTTCTTTGACTAAAACTAGACTAAAATACTTTAGATTTTCTTTGACTAAAACTAGACTAAAAAGTTGAGACTTTTAGTCGACTAAAACTGGACTAAAACTAAATAGGATAAGGTTGACTAAATATGATAAAAATCTAAAAAGGACATTTAACACGGGACTAAGACTAAAATTGAAAATAGCTGACAAAATTAACACTAGTAAGACATGAAGAAAAAATTTTAATTGCATATTTTTTTACATTTTTAATTACATTTATTAAAACATTCTGTAAATAATTTAATATAATCATTATGCCAGTGTACCTTAATTTGAAAAAAAAAAAACATTAATCAAATTTATCATATCGAGGTATACAGACTGAATTGCAAATGTATAGCCTATTTATAATCATTGTATGTTTATAAAATGTAATATGCTTTACGGTATAATCTCCCTATATTTCCCCATGCCTTGATTAAAATATGAAAGTAGAAGTTAAAAGTTGTATTGCATTATGAGATGTATTTTGTAATATTTCCTTCTTAATGAAACTTAATGTCATGATTTTTCTTTTTCTTTTTTTCATTCAAGTTGCAACAACAATGGCAGCTAAATATCAACGTTTTTATTTTGTTTTTGTTTTTTTAATAATTATGTATATTTAGGATACATAAATGAGCAGCTTGCACATTCTACTATAAATTTTTATAAATGATAAATATATGCTTTCAATGATAAATATATAATTTTTGGATGAACAAATTATTTTCCTAAATGTGTACAGAGTCAAACATGCTATCTCCCCCCCACACACACACACACACACACACACACACACACACACACACACACACACACACACATGCCATCACTGGACTTTCGTAATAGCATGTTGACTTTTTTTCTGTCACATACACCACAGAAAGCTGGCAGACCCTCCCTGCAGGGTGGGGAGGGAAAGGTGAATGAGAAATGATATAAAAGAGGGTATGAAAACAAATCCAACAGTACTGAAGCTCTACCTGTAGACCTCTCTCACCTCCCACCATGGAGTGGAGAACATCTACAGTCTGCATACTGCTTCTGGCGCTTACCGGCATTCAGGTTGATTCAAAGACAGGTAAGAGTTAACTTTCAGTCAAAAATGTCCTACTTGAATTGGTTCTTGAGGGGTTTCATCTATCTTGTTTATTTTATTTTATAAAATAAATTAAAAAAACAGTTTTTTTAAAAACAGTTTTGATTGTGTTTTTTATTATTAGCATAATATTTCTCTGATTTGTGATTTTTTTTTAATATAAAAAAATAGTTTAATTTTTTGAATCACATCTGTCTAAGTCCTGTCCTTATTAATATAATTATTTTATATTAACAACCAGAAATGACTTATACTGTATTTGGTGTCCCCTTAATAAGACACCCTTTTATTTTATTTTATTTTATTAGTTAAGTTTAGTTCAGTCAGTATACAATTTGGAAGCTTTTATATTTAAGATTCAATATATGAAATGTTAAGTGTGTTAGAATTTGAATGTACATAAGTTAAGTAAAAAATTTTTTTTTTTAAATTATATAAAATTTTTAAAAAATCAATATATTTTTCTTGAGGATATATACAACCAGAAATTACGTCTATTGTCACAATTTGGCATCCCCTCAATAAGACACCTTTTTATTTTATTTTATTTTAAGTTCAATCAGTATACAATTTGGAAGCTTTTATATTTAAAATTCAATATATGAAATTTTAAGTGCATTAGAATTTGAGTATGCACATCCGTTATTAAGTATAACAAATCATTTTAAATTCACAGCTTTTTTAATCATTATATGTTTCTTTAGGATTGTAACCTTGACCATGGCAATGTTGGTGCAAAGTTGAATTTCAAAGATGATTTTATCTTGTCAAATAGCTTGATGTTGTGGTTGAAAACAGCATTGGTGTCAGCATCTGGAAAGAAAGAAAAAACAGGAACCAACCAGCTGTTGACAGTTGTGAAGAGCATAGTTTCATCACCTGAACCTGATACTATCAGTGCCATTGATGACTTACCTTAGAAGTTACTAAATATTTTCAGTTGCGTCAAAAAGTGACAAAGTTCATTTACTTCCCTTCATGATGACTTGAAGTTCAGCTTGATCAGCTTTCCATACATTTGTGGATTGACAAATGTAAAAGTGACCAAATGCAGGAATTATCTGAGAATGCCTGAATTTTAATTGAGTTTGCAAACAGGGAACATAATTGTAATTAAAATTTAAGGACACATAATTCAAATGCAAATGCATTGAAATAACTGCTGTCAGCATAGATTTGATGTTTTACATACATATATTATTTCAGCGATCAACATTTGAAAAGCAACTTAAAGAAATTTGTATTTAATTTCTATCTAATAAATTATATTTTACTTTATGGGCTGTGGTAGAAGAACAAAAATTCCCAAAATGCTCTCAAATTTTTCTAAGATAAGTCAAACTTTTCATATTTCTTTGTTTTCTCCCATTTTTTGCAGTCTATCCCAGTAACCATGTCAACAACATCTGTAGCATGTGGGGAAACTTCCACTTCAAGACGTTCGATGGAGATGTGTATCAGTTCCCAGGCATGTGCGAGTATAACCTGGTGTCTGACTGCCAAAGCCTCATTCGCCAGTTCTCAGTTCACGTGAAGAGAACAGAACACAGCACTGGCCCAAACATCAGCAGGGTGTCGATTACCATCAATGACATTGGCATTGAGTTGACCGAGAAACAGGTCGTAGTCAATGGAGAAAAGTACGATTCTGGGGAACCCAACCAACTGTTAAAGGCTTAAAAATGTATTCTGTTTGGTCAATCTTTCATTTGAATCTTTTCTCTTGTTCAGAGTAACGCTGCCCGTGCATGTCGCAGGGATCCTTGTGGAAGAGAACACAATTTACATCAGACTCTATTCCAAAATGGGCATCACTGTCATGTGGAACAAAGAGGATGCCGTTATGGTGAGTTTATAGGCTAGTCTGGCTCATCATGAGCTCAAAACAACTCTTATGAAAGTACATCTTTAACCAGGGCTGCCAACTCTCAAGAATCAAAAGATATGATTCATGCAATTCACACTTTTCTCACACTCTCATGCCACACCGCCATTTTCCCACGCAGTGAAAACCACCCTAAGTTGAAAATGTAATATATCGGTGAAGCAGATTTGGTAAACTCTCCAGTACATATTTGTGTTTGCGCTCTGGAAAACATCAAAAGTTTCTATTTTCAACATGTTTTTGTAACATTAAGCAAAGTAGCCAATCACATACATATCTGTTGATTCTTGAGCACCTCTGATTGGCCATTCCATTCAAATGAGTGAGAATTCACTCACGGCTAAACGCCAGATTTTGATTGTTTTTTCACTGTAACATGGTATAAATTAGAGGTTCATTGGTTATAAAGGAACTTTGTGAGCTTGTGATGAACTGAAGTAAGTGACACCTTTTTAGTGATTATAAAGGAAGCGCTATTTGCGCACTTTATAGGCTAAATATAATCTGTTTAGAATTTGAATAATAGTTTTTTTTTGTGCTGCTAAGGGCCATATACCCTGTACAAGCAGTACAATTTTCTGTAACATGGTATAAATTAGAGGTTCATTGGTTATAAAGGAACTTTGTGAGCTTGTGATGAACTGAAGTAAGTGACACCTTTTTAGTGATTATAAAGGAAGCGCTATTTGCGCACTTTATAGGCTAAATATAATATGTTTAGAATTTGAATAATAGTTTTTTTTTGTGCTGCTAAGGGCCATATACCCTGTACAAGCAGTACAATTTCGGGAGTGACACATACATTCCCCATCCCTCACATAAATGCGGGATTCATTTTCAAAAGGGAGAAAAATATAATTTGTCAAAATAGATTAAGCAATGTAAATGCAGACTAATGGATTAATAGAAAAAATATTTTTTAAATGCACTTGCAATTATTTATAAAAGTAATGAGTAGTAAATCTTCCAATTCTCTCACTGTACATTGCTATTCTTGTTGTTGTAAAAAGTTAGGCCTAATAGTTTTGCAGCACTGCAACAATTATTTTACATAATTTTATGAAAAAATAAAAAATAAAGTACCATCATGATGTTAACTAGACATGTCCAAATGTCAGGCAAAACTCTGCTGACAGGTATTTTTATATATATATACTGTACATACAGTATCTCTTCTATATTCCATGGTTTTGCATGCTCTGATCACATAACATTACTACTGACATAAAGTCCAAATGGCCACAAATATTAAGTCAAATGATCTAACAGTAAATTTTTGTGTGGTCCTTTGTTAGGTGGAACTAGACTCCAAATATTCCAGTCGGACTTGTGGACTGTGTGGTGATTTCAATGGTGTTCCAGTTTATAGTGAGTTCATTGAATCTGGTAAGTCACTTTTACAGCCTGATTTCTTACTTTTCTCTACATAGTGATTATTTGACCAATTATGAACAATATAAATGATTATGCCTCATGGATTCCGAATTTGATGAATCTCCAAGAGTTTTAAGAATAGCCAAGATCAAGTGTCTGTCTTATTTATTACAGGACGGAGGGTTGGCTATGCTGAGTTTGGTAATAAGTACAGAGTTCCCAACCCAACACATGTCTGCGAAGATCCTTTTGAAAACGACGATGAGCAAAATGTGGTGGACAAATGTGAAAAATTTGTAAGTTACAGAAGAAAGCTGATCATTCCAGATTAAATTGTTAGTTACAACAGCAACTCGGAATTCTAGTATTGTTACTTAATATGGACCTTCAAGATGTTCCATGTCCTTTTCACAACAGCGGGCAGATTGTGCAGACCTTTTGGAGGATGAAAAGTGGTCTTCTTGTAGCTGGGTTTTGAACACAGAGCCATATATCAAGGCCTGTACGAACGATATTTGCTCGAGCCAACCTGAAGATGAAGACTCCAGCATCTCTGCGCTCTGTGCGACTTTGTCTGAATATTCACGTCAGTGCTCTCATGCTGGAGGAACTCCACCGTCCTGGAGGACAGCAAACTTCTGTGGTAAGAAATGCCTTGATAATTCTCGTGAAAATGATAGGATTCTTCTCTCTTGAGCTGTTCCTTTGTTTTTATATCTTATTAATAGCAGTTGTAAAGACTCTGTGTGTCTTGTATTCCTATGCAGCCGTGAAGTGCCCCTACAATATGGTACATTCTGAAAGTGGCTCCCCCTGTATGGACACATGCTTGCACAAAGACACAAATGCACTGTGTGAGGAACACAACAGTGATGGATGCTTTTGCCCGCCAGGTCAGTACCACTATTTATATAATATAAACCAAATTAATATAAACTACTGTTCAAAAGTCTGGGGTCGGTAAGAATTTTTTAAAGGAATCTTTTATTCAGCAAGGATGCATTACATTGATCAAAAGTTATAGTAAAGACTTATAAGGATAGATTTTGAATGTTACAAAAGATTTCTATTTCTATGTTTGAAGAGTAAGCAGCACAACTGTTTTCAGCATTAATGATAACGATAAGACATTTTCTTCTGATCATGTGACACTGTAGACTGGAGTAACGGCTGCTGAAAATTTAGCTCTGGCATCACAGGAATACATTACATTTTAAAACAGTCATAAGATTTCACAATATTACTGTTTTTTGATCAAATCAATGCATCCTTGGTGAGCTTAAGAGGCTTCTTTTATAAACATTAAAACAAAAAAAATCTTACCAGTAGTGTATAGTTACAAGACCAGGAAGTCCATTAAAGCACTGCTATCCTGGCTATCCTACCCATCCAGCTACTAGCAAAAATAACCAAAGTCTCACAATTCACCTGATATTCCAACCTTTACTCTAGTAGCACCTTCTGCCCCTTGACATCTATAAATTTATTTTTGCCCCAAAAAAAAAAAAAAAAAAAAAAAATATATATATATTAAAATACAAAAAAGTTATTTTAAATTGTAATAATGTTTCATAATATTACTGTTTTTTCTTCTTCTTAAGAACCACATTTAGTTGATATTGATGCATTGTGTTTTTGTTATAGGAACTGTGTTTGATGACATCTCAAACACGGGCTGCATCCCAGCAGAAAAGTGTCAGTGCAAGCATGACCGCGTCTACAGCACAGGAGAGATCCTACGCGAAGATGAGGAAGAATGGTAAGAAAACACATTTCACTCAGTTCTCCTCATATTCCTAATATCCATATGTATGGCGCATTTTTTTTATCCTAGTGCATTTTGTGTCCTTTCATGTATTTTACTACTCATATACAAGAAAAATATGTCTGTTCATCAATATTACTGTTAACTGCATATTCATGACAATATGCTAAATTATGATGACACTGGATGAATAGGAAAAATGGCCGTTTCATAAATATATAAAAATATCAGCACTGTGATTTACCATGTTGACATCTGAAGCTCATTGTTTTCCACGTCTGTTTGTAATTGTATTATTTAACTCAGCATATGTAAGGAGGGAAGCTGGATCTGTACAAGCATTCCCGGCCCTGGCCTGTGCTCAGTAGAAGAAGGATCTCACTTCACCACCTTTGACGGGAAAGAATTCACATTCCATGGAGACTGCAACTATGTGCTCTCAAAAGTATGTGTGTTTTAGTTGCTAACTACACCTTATTTAATTGCTAAGACATGTTGGGATTTATGGTTGTATCCATGCTTTATGAATATGTGAAATTCTTAATAAATGTCAACTTCTGCATTTGTTTTTGTAGGACTGTAAGGAGTCCAAGTTCATCATATTGGGTCTGATTGTTCCATGTTTTACTCATCAAACTGACACCTGTTTAAAGTCTGTTGTGGTGCTGTTTGACAACGATATGAAAAATGTGAGTACACCTCTCTACTTCCACAATCTTGCATATTTGGCTTTTATAGCAAACAGGTCTTTCTGACAGTCTGAGTGAGTAATGAGATGTAAATGTTACAGTGCTGTTCAAAAGTTTAAGGTCAGTGAAATGTTTCAAATGTTTATGCTTACCAAGGCTGCATTTATTTGATTGAAAATACCGTCAAATCAGCAATATTGTTAAGCAACTGTTTTCTATTGTAATATATTTGAACGTAATATATTCCTGTGATTACAATGTATGATTTTTCAATCTTCAGTGTCATGTGATTTTTCAGAAATCATTCTAACATGTTGATTTGGTGCTGCAGAAACATTTCTTATCATTAATGTTGAAAACAATTGTCCTGCTTAAACATTTTCAAGATTGCTTGAGGAATAGAAATAAAACAGCAGACTTTACTGTTATTTTTATTCAACGTAATGTGTCCTTGGTTAATAATAATAGTATTTTATTTATTTTTTTAATTGAAAAGCAGTGTAGCTTGTGAAAAAAAAAAAACGGTGATCTTTCTTCTTCAGCCTCTGATTATTAAAGCTGACGGGACGGTGCAACACAATGCAGAAATTTCACTTCCTTACATGACAGGTGAGGGAGAAGAAGCTTTTTGTTTATTTTCTGTGTTTTAGAGCCCATGTGCTAATATATATATATATATATATATATATACTGTATATATGAAGTGTTTTTCAAGCTCTTCGACTCTTTTTCTCTCAGCTGGCTTCACGGTGTTCATGCCGTCATCGTTTCACATCATGCTTCAGACCACCTTTGGGCTGCAGGTGCAGGTACAGCTGGTGCCTCTTATGCAGGTTTACATCACCGTGGACCAAAGCTTCCAGGGCAAGACTTGTGGTGAGACCTCGGTCTTAAAAAGCACGAAAAAAAATCTGAATTAGAAAGTGAATCCATCATGAAAACCAAAGTTGTGGCATTTGTTTGTTTCTGCAGGTCTTTGTGGAAATTTTAACAAAGTGCTGTCAGATGATCTGAAGACCCCTCAGGGAGTGGTGGAGGGTACAGCGGTTTCCTTTGCAAACGCCTGGAAGGCGCAGTCCAACTGCCCCGACCGTACTGAGAGACTGGACGATCCCTGTTCCTACAGCAGTGACAGCGGTGAGAGACTTTTTGCTTCCAAAGTCAATGTGGCGAAGTCAGACCGGTTTGTTTTTAATTCTGTATTCGTCTTGTTTTATACATATACCAAAGTGGATAGGATAGTAATAGATTTGGAAGCAATCAAGAACACTAGTGGGTGTTCACGTATAACCGAATATAACCACATCAACAGGTGTCAGTATTCTTCCAATACTGTTGCATCAGCCAGTATTTCCACATAAAATTACGTGGTGCCCATGTTTAATACTATATCTGTTTTGTTCTTAAGTAGGAGTTTTAATTAAATTCCCATATTTTGTGATGCTTTTAGAGCACTTTGCTGAGCACTGGTGTTCCAAGATGAAGGACAAGGAGAGCCTCTTTGCCAAATGTCACACCACTGTCAATCCAGACAGCTACTACAAAGTATGATCTTAAACAGTAGAGGATTATATACAGACAAGCAGTATTTTTTAACCTTTTGCAACTAAGCAACACAGTGTTCATTTAATATTATTTATATTGTATTATAGTATATAGTAATATGTTTTATGCTTACATGTTGCGTTTTAGTAATTGCATGTGCTTTTGTTTTTTTTATATTTCTATTTAGCTTTAAATCTAGGACTTTAAAAGTTTAATTCAATTTATCCCAGCTTCCACAACATGTCTATGTATTTTTTAGAGATGCAAATACTCCAGCTGTACCTGTGAGAAGAGTGAGGACTGTCTGTGTACGGTGTTCTCTGCGTACGCCCGGGCCTGTGCAGCTAAAGGAATAATCCTCCAAGGCTGGAGAGACATTGTGTGCAGTAAGATGGCTGAAAATGATTGAGTCTGTAGATGGATTGATGACTGGACAATTTCAGTGAACAAAACATCAAAAGTTTGTTTTTGAAACGGGGCCTTGAACCTTTAGAATTCAATTCAAATGTATTTAATATTACATTTTTATAATACAGAGAATAGTGCAAAGGAAAAAAATTTATACTGCAAGGAATGTGAGATTATGCATAACGCATAATGAGAGTAAAATTTAAAAGCCAGGACTAGGCCTTAGTTAAATTAAGATACTTTTACAAAAATGCCTTAGAAGAAAACTTTACAGGCGTGCATCTTGACACAGAACAATGACACTGATATATTTTAAGATATGTCAGAGCAAGATATTTTCAGTTGAGACAGCTTAAAGATGCATTTTAGTCTGGGACTAGCTTAAGCCTTTTCTGTGAAACCGGGGGCCTGTGTTGTAAATATTTTCCAGGTAATATTAATTTTAATTCAGTGTTAATGAAGTTGATGCCAACTTCATATCTTTATAATATAATGCTTACCATTTTTCACACACTATGTAAGTATATAAAACTATATAGCTGCCTTTATATTTTAGGAAGGGCATCCTTTACAAGAGGGATCATCATATTTGGGTGTCTCCAAAAACTTGAAAATCCCTTATCTAACCTAGAAGATTAGAAGAATGCTTATGTCATTTTGCTACATGCATCTTTAAGACACAGTCCCTTTCAAACTGATCCCCACAGAGAAATATACAGAGAATTGCCCGGCCTCGCAGAACTACTCCTATGAGCTGCAGAACTGTCAGCGTACCTGTCTGTCTCTCGCCTCTGAGCGCCAAAGCTGCAGCGTTGACTTTGTGCCCGTTGACGGATGCGCATGTCCAGAGGGACTCTACCAGGATGAGAATGGACTGTGTGTACCTATGGAAAAATGTCCATGTCACCACAACGGACAGAAAATTCATTCCGGAAAGTCTGTCACCATTAGGGATGAACACTGGTAAGTGAATGATAATATACTGTGGGTATTATTGGAGTAGTTATACAAGAAAGGTAAAAACTATGAATTTAATATACAATTTGATCTTATTTCTCTGTCCAGTGTTTGCATGAATGGAAAACTCCACTGTCGTTCCTGGAAAACCAGAAGTCTGGGTATGAAAAGTTACTTTCATCTACTACATAGGTTAAATAAGTTTGTTTTCAGTTTATATAGACTACCATCACTAGTACTAGGCTATTATGGCATCTGTAACCAAGGCAATATAAAGTTATCTAGTCAAATGTGATGTTGAAATTAACTGGCTAACCAAGGTTTTAATAACCAACAAACAGTGAACAATAAATAGTGGTTGATTAATATGGATTTTTTAATGGCCAGTGCTGATATGTTAGAGAACAAGGTGGCAGAAGGCAAATATAAATGATGCTGCACAAGTAAACTTTTAACTTTTATCACAATTGTTAATTTTTTACAATTGCTCGACGTCTGTCGTTAACAGTTTTTGAATATGGTTTCTGATATTACAAGTACATGAATGATGCAGCGTCTGATATCTTTGGCAGGATGTTCCTCTCCGAAGGTTTTCTTCAACTGCAGTACAGCAGCCCCAGATGAACATGGATTGGAGTGTGCAAAGACTTGTCTGCAACAGGAAGTTGACTGTGTGAGTCTATAGATTCTAAGATCTCTTCTCTCTTTTTCTTTCCCAAAGTCTATCACTTGATTTTGCTGATGGTGTTATTTGTGTGGATAACAGCATTTTGCTTGTACATAATGTTTTCTTCCCTTCTTTCCAGTTCTCACTGGACTGTCAGTCTGGCTGCCAGTGTCCTTTAGGTCTATTGGATGATGGGAGAGGACATTGTGTTAAACCAGACTACTGCTCGTGTAAACATAATGGACTGGATTACGCACCAGGAGCTGAGATAAGCATAGACTGCAATCAATGGTCTGTAAAACTGGTGTTATTTTAGTATACTATTGTAGTTTTTAATGATATTTTGTATTTACTTTTTTTTTTTTGTTCAGTTAACATTTATTTTATTTCAAGTAATGAAAATATTTTTAAATTGTTTACATTAATTTTTTGTTAACAGTATTAATCCAGTGTAAAACAACAGCCATTACCATTGCCACAATAAAGTAACATTATCATAAAACCCCTAAGTAATGAGGAAATACAACCTGGCCTTTAATGATCTATAGTATAATACTGTAGAACCACACAAGATTTGAGTCTCCCTCTATATTTACAGCACTTGCCAACGGGGAAAATGGAACTGTACACGTTATAAGTGTCCAGGCATATGCGCCATTTACGGCAGTGGACGTTATATAACTTTTGATCAGCAAAGATTCAGCTTTAGGGGAGATTGCAGTTATATTGCTGCTCAGGTATGTGCATCTGGTCAGAGGCTTTATTTAAAAAAATTACAAATAAAGCTCTGCCTTCAGGAGGCAACACAGTACGTTCTCTTGTTTTGCAGAACAAGTGTGGAAATAAAACTGGCACCTTTCGTGTGATCACTGAGAATATGCCTTGTGGAACAACAGGAACCACATGTTCAAAGGCTGTCAAGATACTTTTGGGGGTAAGGCCACAGGTGTAGCGTGCTATGCAGTTTTATGTTTGGCAAAATATTCAATACTATGTGGTACATTCAGAGAAAAATAAAACGTTTTTAGCTGTTCAGCATGTTAAAGTTGTTACGTGTAGTATAAGGCAATAATAGTGTACAATTTTTGTTCATTTTAAAGGCCAATGAAGGATTTCCTCTCCTCATTCTCTTCAACATTTGAAAGCAATATAGAATCAATGTCTATCATTGGATTCTATAGTTGTTTTACGATGTTTGCGACTTAACTTTTTTTTTACTTCTCTCTCACACAGAGGACTTTGCTGCAGCTTGTTGATGGAAATGTAATGGCCATTGATAGTGCAAGTGGTCCAAAGATCGAGTACACTGAGAAAATCATTGGGATGTACCTTGTCATTGATGCTAACATTGGACTGACAGTTTTGTGGGACCGCAAAACCACCGTCCGCATCATTCTGCAACCTCAGCTCATGGTGAGTTGGAGCCATGACTCATGACTTCAATTTTTATGTTTTGAACTTACGCTTCCAAACAATTTGCAACAGTCCCTGAATTTGATTTATTTGTAGCGCAACATCTGTGCTTTATTGTTTTTTGACAGGGAGACGTTTGTGGTCTGTGTGGAAACTTCAATGGAAATGGAAAAGATGACTTTACCACTCAGGGAAATTTGCCAACTTCAAATATCCTGGAGTTTGTGGACAGCTGGAAAGGAAGCAAATGTCCGGATGCAAAACCAGATGACGACCCATGCCTTGAGACGCCCAATCGAGAGACATGGGCAAAAATACAATGTAGCATCATCAAGGATATCAATGGTCCATTCAAAGTCTGCCATAACACGGTACAGTTGCAAAGACTTCTGAGTAAATAAATGGAGTTCCCTATAATGTGGTGGTCGCCGTGATTTTGCCAAGGAGACATGTTCCAGGATCAACATTACTGTCCAAAAATATAGATTAAACACAATCCCTACCCCTAAACCTAACCCTACCCATAATTCATTCCTAAAATCAAGGGTGTAGAAGCACCTAACCCTGATCGTAAGCCTAAAACAGATATTTCCTGAAAAGCTATCCCTCAATTCTGATTGGTTAATTGCAATGTTGTTCCAGGATCAACCAGGATGTTGATCCAGGAACATGTTCTACTTGGTGAAATCACGGTCACCATAATGTGGTATACAAGAATCATACATATTTTGAAGGATGGAAATGCATGTTCCCACAGGTGGAACCAATCTCTTATTATGAGAACTGTGTGAAGGACTCGTGTGCATGTGACACAGGTGGAGATTGTGAGTGCTTCTGTACAGCTGTGGCAGCTTATGCTCAAGCCTGCAATGAGGCAGATGTTTGTGTGAACTGGAGAACACCTGAGATCTGTCGTAAGCATCTTTAACTCTAGTACACATCTTAATCTGTAATCTATTAATGTGATTCATGCAGATTCTAAATGTTCAGCTACTGTGTTTTCACAAAAAAGATAATGTGAATAAATTGATTGCCTGATCATTGCTTGAAGTGATTTCTTTCTTTTAACAATGTAATGCAGTTGTATTGCATTTCTTTTAGTTCTACTGTACACATTCATACTTCTGTCCATGTTTCTCTGTCAGCTGTGTACTGTGACTTCTACAATAATGGAACAGAAGAGTGCATATGGCATTACAATCCTTGTCATACACCTTTCTACAAAACCTGTCTCAACCTTAATGGTGTTTACAGTAATAACAGTTTACCCCTTCTGGAAGGTGAGTTGACATTTGGTGCATGCTAGTTTGCATTTTTCAAGACCGATTATGTACACTGGATATTTCTGGACCTTTTATTTAGTGATAAACTGGGATTAGAAATGGTTCAAGGAACGAAAATCATTAATCATTAACAACATTTTTGGTGGAAAGTAATAGAAGACATATTTGTTTTGTTGTAATTATACCAATATTGATCTTTATCTCTTATACCTCTCTTTCTTAAGCACTTTCTAATTCCAAAATGACCCCACAATCTATAGGGAAAGACAATATTTGTACGTTAAGCATTTATTTTTGCAAAAAGCCTGGTTTATATGTGAAACATTCATGTGAGCACAAAGGTGCGCGCGGCTAAAATTATGTCATCGTGGTGTGGGAGGTCGTGCATGTTGAGTGTGCTAGACCCCATTTTGCGTGGCATTGTGCACGGCATTTTTTGTAACCTTGTGTGTGGCTCCGCTTCCAAAGATGCACAACTTCAAGCCGACTCTGGCCAAGGTGGCACATCTTTACTGGCATCTTTATGAATCGGAAGAAGCTTGATGTGATGTTGAAACTCCATCAGGTGCTTTTTGAGTCTTTGAGGGACAAAATATGTAGAATATATTGCAAACAGTATCTAGGGAATATTGTAAACAAAGCACAGCAACGCAATCTTGATCGGCCCCGATACCAATCCGTGAGAGAGGCTCAGGACATCCCTATTAATTACAGGAGTGCTTAGAAATGTTCATAAACCTTCAATTTTCTAATAAAGTGATCTAATGCAATGTAATTTTATTATTAACAATAAAGTATGTCATTAATGGGTTAGTTCACCCAAAAATTTTAATTTGCATGTGATTTACTCGCCCTCGAGGCATCCTAGGTGTATATGACTTTCTTCTTTCAGACGAATTCAATCGGCGTTATATTAAAAATTGTCCTGGCTCTTCCGAGCGTTATCATTGCAGTGGGTGAGTGTTTCTGTTCAACAGTCCAGAGGAACCAGGACAATTTTTAATAAAACTCAGATTGGATTCGTCTGAAAGAAAAAAGTCATATACACCTAGGATAGCTCGAGGGTAAGTAAATCACAGGATAATTTTCATCTTTGGGTGAACTAACCCTTTAAGTCAAATTATTCAACTAAATATAATTAAAATAATAGAACTTGTATAATAATTCAATTAATGGTAATCTCTTGCCAGTAATTCACAAAACCATTTGTGATCATGACTCACCAGTTAAGAACTGATGATATATGTGTAACTATATTTATTTATTTATTTATGCAGGATGTTATCCAAAATGTCCAAAGGATACGCCTATTTTTGATGAGGAAAATCAGATCTGTGTGGAGACATGTATATCGCCATCATCCACTACAACACCAGAACCTACCACATCATCTACTCCTACACCGACAACTACTACAATGTCTACTACAACAACACCAGAACCTACCACATCATCTACTCCTACACCGACAACTACTACAATGTCTACTACAACAACACCAGAACCTACCACATCATCTACTCCTACACCGACAACTACTACAATGTCTACTACAACAACACCAGAACCTACCACATCATCTACTCCTACACCCACAACTACTACAATGTCTACTACAAAAACACCAGAACCTACCACATCATTTACTTCAACATCAACATGTATATGTATATGTTGGTGGTCTGACTGGTTTAATGAATATCATCCTGGTGCAGAAGGGCATGACTTGGAGACTTATGAAAACATTAGAGAAAGTGGAAAAGAGATCTGTAAAGAGCCAGTAGATATCGAATGTAGGGCTGTGGCCGAACCTGACATGAGCTTTGACGAATACATTAAAGATTCAAAACAAGTTGCCCAGTGCAATGTTTCATATGGATTGGTGTGTAAGAAAGAACAACAGAATGCCCGCCCTTATAAATGTTTTGACTATGAAATACGTGTTAACTGCTGTAGCGATCCTTCCCCAACATCTACTCCTCCAACGACAACTACTACAATGTCTACTACAACAACACCAGAACCTACCACATCATCTACTCCTACACCGACAACTACTACAATGTCTACTACAACAACACCAGAACCTACCACATCATTTACTTCAACATCAACATGTATATGTATATGTTGGTGGTCTGACTGGTTTAATGAATATCATCCAGGTGCAGAAGGGCATGACTTGGAGACTTATGAAAACATTAGAGAAAGTGGAAAAGAGATCTGTAAAGAGCCAGTAGATATCGAATGTAGGGCTGTGGCCGAACCTGACATGAGCTTTGACGAATACATTAAATATTCAAATCAAGTTGCCCAGTGCAATGTTTCATATGGATTGGTGTGTAAGAAAGAACAACAGAATGCCCGCCCTTATAAATGTTTTGACTATGAAATACGTGTTAACTGCTGTAGCCCTTGTTGTCCCACATCATCTCCCCCTACGACAACAACTACCACGAAGTCTACAACAACACCAGAACCTACCACATCATCTACTCCTACACCGACAACTACTACAATGTCTACTACAACAACACCAGAACCTACCACATCATCTACTCCTACAACAACAACAACTAAGTCTACTACAACAACACCAGAACATACTACACCCTGTACTCCTCCACCAACTCTACCTTGCGAATGTCCAGAATGGGCCAAAAATGTACTATTTAATATACTTTCTTTTAATGTTTGTTTCAAGGGCTCATGAAATGCAGTTTCAGATTTGTATATTGTTTCTTGAGGTTAGTTTATAAAGATATTTTACATCAGAGGTCCAATATTTGTAAAAATTATAATTTTCCATCCACATTTTCACTCTCTGTGAAAACCACTCAGTATCAAGGGGCGACCTCAAGGGGCGAAACTGACGTAAATGCCCACTGTTTTGATTGGCTAAATCTATTGCACCATATTCATGTCCTGCTTTACAGCATGTCATGTATTTTGATACTCAAGGACATATACGACGTGATAAGGACATATATATGTTGGAGCCAGAGTCATATACTAAGGCAGTCAAAATTTATACAACGCAACCACAACATGTATCACTGTTGTGATTGATGAACAGACATAACCTCCTTGATTACATACAATTACATATGATGCACGTTAAGGGGCGGGTCGAGGACATCACGATTCTCCCATTTTCAGAAGGGTAGAAAAGAATAATTCATATTTTAAACTGGGCAGTTAGTTTTGAGTTCTGAAACTTATTACTGTAGAGGAACCTCTTATATGTGTTACTATCAAGAACATTTTGATTCTCCATGTCATGACCCCTTCATGTAGTGTAATTTATTTTCTACTGGAGAAATGTACTTTTATAAGTATCCATGTTGTCATTTAAATATTCCAAAGAAAATAACATACACTACATTGTAATTTTACATGCATCAGTCTTTCTAATTCCAGTACTTTTCTCATTATCACCAGTTCAATGGGACCTTCTACCTTTGTGGCTGCTATATGGCGAGGTGCAGAAACGACTGCATCGTAGAAGTTTTCCCATTGGAATGCCCTCCACTGCAGAACATCACCTGTGAAAATGGCAAAGACCCAGTGCTTGTCTACGATGAGTATCACTGCTGCCAATATTATGCATGTGACTGTGAGTAAACTGGTATTCACAATCTTTATATTTGATTCCGTAATTATTGAAATTAATAGCAATGATGTCCTGTCAAGCCAAATATGCTTTGTATTCAGTGCTTGAATTTTGAATATGTTCCTTCAAAATTACTATAATTGAACATTTTAACTGAAAACAATGCAGTCATGATCTGTGATTTCCTTGCATCTCATTGAGTCTCTTTGCTTTGATGTGGCGCAAGAACATAAAATAGTCTCTGTCACAGGTTAAATGACAAAGTGGTTATGATGACATTTTCAATTCTTCTGTTACTTTCAACAATCAATGCACATAGGATCAGATTTACTAAACAGGTCAAATTAACATTAGACCACAATAAACCCATAAAAGCACAAATGGGAGTGGAAAGTTGTGGCTGATCTATTGCACAAATTAAAGAACACAGAAGCAGCCAGCTCATTTCCATACTGACAATGCAATATAGGAAGAGGAACACAAAATAAAAAAAAGTATGTGGCTTGGTAATCGATATATTCAGATAACATTGTCATTCCAAATAAATTAACACAAGTGGAGAAAATTTTCTCACTTCTACCATGAGCTCTGTCTTCTCTGTGGCCTCCTCCTAGCAGCAACTATCGCAGCCATGTCAAGCACAAAATGGATTAAGATGTGTTTTTTTGGGCATTAAATAATGGCACAAATACCAGTAATTTGACTACCACAAACCTTAGTAAATCATGATTCATTTAAATACTCTTCTCTCAGAAATGTTGCATCCGAGAGGAAAACTCCTACAAATGCGCATGCAATAAGATCAGCCGCAAAAATTACTGTCCACACTTTTCATTGCTTATTTTTCACTGTATGTCATCAGTAAAAAAGCAGATTTACTAACAGCTTGTTCCAGGCAAACCCTCTTTTTGCAGTTAAAAAAGAGGGTTTGCCTGGAACAAGCTGTAAGTAAATCTGGCCCTTAGTGTTTATCAATGTCAAGTAGCTTGTTCAGTTCAAATAAGTGAATGCTGTTTTTTGTTTTTTTGTTCACCCTCTCCTAATCATAGGCGTTTGTGAAGGCTGGGGTGACCCGCATTACCGCACATTTGATGGACACTTTTACAGTTATCAAGGAAACTGCACTTATGTATTAATGGAGGAAATCAGTCCTCGATTCAATTTGAAGATCGACATCGAAAGTGTCTACTGTGACCCTGTTGAGCTCGTATCCTGTCCCAGATCTATAATTGTGTCTTACAACAATCTAGTCATAACACTCATAAATCACAATCTCATGGGAGGTGCAGACCTAGAGGTGAGACTTTCTAGATTTGGAATGAGTAACATGTTTTGTCTGCTTTACTAAGTATCCTAAAATTCTCCTGTCATAACAGGCTTTTGAGAACAACAAAAAGATACCACTACCATATGCTCGTAACGGTGTGAGAGTTGTAAGCTCAGGCCTAAACTTGATCCTGACTATTCCACTGCGGGATGCTAATATAACATTTGGAGCCACAGGCTTTGAAGTCAGTCTGTCATACCATTTTTTTGGAAACAACACACAAGGTCACTGTGGTAAGTTAGCCACTCCCTATATTTTGTGTGGATGGTATATGAGGGATTTGTTTTTATGCATTGCCCATCTAAATTACTCCAAATTAATTCTCACTAAGGTACATGCAACAACAACCAGGCTGATGACTGCATGATCCCTGGAGGGATCTTGGTGGACGACTGTGCAGTGATGGCAGACTACTGGCCAGCCAGTGAAATTTGCACTCCAACTGCAAAAACTACATCTAAGCCTTGCCCAGTTAATCCTGACTGCGACCTCCTCAAAAGCGAGTGAGTGGGTTCTGTATGGTGGTTTTATTATACATTTCAATATACGGAGCTTCCAAAGTGATATGTACTACCTCTGTCTTTCTCAGCTTGTTCAAAGAATGCCATTCCCATCAGTCCCCCGAAAACTTCTTTTTAGCATGTGAATATGACAGTTGTCATATGAGCAACCCTGCCGTGGTGTGTACCAGTCTGCAGGCTTACGCGAGGTCTTGCTCTCAATTAGGGATCTGCATACACTGGAGGAACTACACTAACCTTTGCAGTAAGTTGCATTTTATTAATTTGATATCATACTGTTTCTTTAGGTTTTTCCAAAACCCTTAACTTTCTGTTGTACATTTCTGACTTTAAATTCCTTTTTTTTAATATGAGATTTTCTTTGTGATCTCAGACTTTTGGAAGTTTAGAGATTATTGTGTGTAAGTGTTGTGTTTGTCTTTTCTTCCCCAGATATTGAATGTCCAGCAGATAAAGTCTTCAATCCTTGTGGTCCAGCTGAGCCACCAACCTGTGCTGATATGTATGCCCATTTATCCAAATTGTTTAAGAATTTAGAAATTTGTGAATATTACAGTTTAGTGCTTTAGTATTGTAAACTGAGGGATGGGAATATGACAGGGAATAAAATAGTATTATTATGCAGATGTTTATTGGAATGAATCTCAGGTGATATGTATGTAATAAAAAAGGTAATTACTTTGCAGACCTGGAGAGAACACAATTAAAGTGCCCACAGAAGGCTGCTTCTGTCCTGAGGGCTCATTGCTCTTCAACAAGGAGTCAGGAGCCTGTGTGAACAAATGCGGTGAGAAGCCTTCGAGTCAAGTTTATGTGCATGCTTATTGAGATGTACAAAAAAATTCTGCATGTCTTAGCGGCTCTTCAAGAACATATCTGTCTTATTTTTGTTTTTAGGATGCCTGGATGCCTCTGGAACACCACGTGAGGTATGGCGGGATTTAACAGTTTTAATTTAGCTGTTTACTCTATACTAGAATTTCAACTTCAAGGTCATTCCAAAACGTTTACCTGAATTCTCTTGATATTTTATGACAGTTCGATGAAGTTTTTGTGTACAACTGTGAGGAGTGTATCTGTGACAAGGCCAGCAAATCTGTAAAATGTCCAAACTCCAAGAAGTGTCCTGATGTGAACCCCGTGAGCTGCACTGAGCCTGGCTTTGTGCTGGTCAATGCCACCGATCCTTCAGACCCATGCTGCAGCAAACAAGTTTGCAGTAAGTTTATGTAGTTTTTTTCCCCTTTTTTTCAAGAGCATTTTGGTTTGGGTTCACATCTTCCTTTTGATTTGTGTGATGTAGATTGTGATGTCAACATGTGCCCCCCTATGGATACAAAGTGTGCAGTCGGATATGCACCAGTCCTGGAAGTGCCTGATGGAAAATGCTGTCCAGTAATCAAATGCGGTATTGCTATTATTCACACTTTAGTTCATTTTTGTGACATTTGTATGCTTATTTTTGTCTCAGATGGTGTTTGTAATATCATTCTGTATAGTTTTATTTTTTGTTGTTTGCCACCTCAGAGCCAAAGAAAGTGTGCGTCCACAAAAATGTGGAGTATGAGGTAACTAAAATGACTGTAATAATACTTAAAAAAAACATTTCAGATTTTTTTTATATAATAATTAAGCTTTACATGCTCATCTCTCTCCCATCACTTCCCCCAGCCTGGTACCAACGTCCACATTGTTGACTGTCAGGAATGCAGCTGTACGTGGGACATGGATCCTAAAACGCAGTTCTTCCAGATCAAATGTGAACTTGTGCAGTGCAATAAGAAATGTGATCCTGTAAGTGGCATGACAAGCTTCTTATCAGCTTGTCTCAGGACTGAGTATAATTTCATTGACTTCATTTGATGTTTATTTTTCACAGGGTTATGAATATGATGATACGAACTTTGACGACTGCTGTGGAAAGTGTGTGCAAACTCACTGCAATGTCAATGTCAATGGCGTCGATCATACACTGAAGGTAAAGTCAAATGTAAACGGTTCAGTTGCCTTGAGGTGTGGAATATTCAGGTCAAATGGAACTTAAAGGAATAGATGTTAAAAAGTAAAATTTATTATAAATGTAAAAAATGTAGTCTACCCACCCACCAATATTTTCTTTCTTTGAACACAAAATGAAACTGTTCATGTTGCTTTTTTTCCCCATACAAGGGAAGTGGATTGCCATTATCGAGGACAGAAAAACATTATTAAAATACTAGTACTACAGTAAAGTTTTCTGAATTTGTGTGAGGAAAAGACCCAACTTTAAGCCATTATTCCTCTAAAATCTCATTCCTCCTAACAAACCTAACATTTTAGCAGTGAATTTGACCTTGTTCTCTTTTTGTTCGTAGGAAGGAGAGACTTTGCCCTCTGCAAATCAGGGCTGTGATAGAATCACGTGTACTAAAGTTAATGGACAGTTCATCACCAACAAATACACAGTCCAGTGTCCTCCTTTCAACATTTCCAACTGCCAGCCTGTCAGTACTTCATGTATCATACAAACACACATTTACATGTTAGACTGACTGATCATGGTGATTAAATCACATCGATGACATTCTGCCTTTGTGATTCGCTCTACAGGGCACCGTCCAGCTGTCATCTGATGGCTGCTGCAAAGTTTGTGAGTGTTTTTTTAAAGAAAACAATGTGAATTTTGGTTGATTTATATGTCTATGTGTGTTCAATTGTCTGTGTTTGAAGGTTCGGACCAAATGAAGGGATGTCAAGTACAGACCGTTCTCGATTACATCAATCACAATGACTGTCAGTCAGAAAAGAGAATGGACCTGACATTTTGTGGTGGAGACTGTGCTAGTTTTAGCAGGTGAGTAGACACAGACTCTGCTACGTCATAATTGGCATCCTAACTTAAACAGACACTCATAAGTGACCAGTTTGAAATGGTTTACATGTGTTTTTCTCTCTTTCTCACATTTGTAGGTACACTGAACCTGGACTGTCCTCTTGTACCTGTTGCCTGGTCACTCACGCAAGCAATCGCACAGTGAATCTTAGTTGCATAAATGGAGACGTAGTGGCCTACTCATACATCCATGTTGAGGAGTGCGCCTGTAGCAGAACTAACTGTCATAAAGCGGGAGTGGGCCACACACTCATTGAAGACAGCCAAAGAAAACGCAGCTTAGGACTTCCGTGAGCAGCAGCAGTAAATCATCCACACGAAGTCACTGAAATATGAATTCTGTGAAAAACCTTGTTTGGAAATAAATTTTAATTGCATATGCTTTGTTTAACATTTCTAAAACTTTATCTATAGGTCTCTTTTTTTTCTTTTCTTAAAAATGCGTACTAGTTTGCTTGTGTTTGAAATTAAAAGCAATAAAAAGCATCTTAAACCTAAACGCATTCATATTGAGTCTTTTATTTATTTTACAACATTTTATTTATTCATATTTTGTTTATGATCACATATTTGTATATACATATATAATATTATTTACACCATTTGGCCATAACCTTATAGATCATAGCCAAATGGTGTAGATCATGGGGCTAGTGACACAATCTACTTTTTGAGCTACAGAAATGGTATAAAAGTGAATAACCAAACAAAGTAGTCAGTAGGTTAAAATCATGTTTTACTAGCAGCGAAATTGCATGATACAATTAAATTGTTTCAAATGTTATGATCATCAAAGCATGTAAAACTTTGAGATCACAAGCGTGTCCTAGCTGAAATTATCTAGTGCATCTAGTGTATGCTTTTATATTGCTGGTTTATGGACAGTCATGTGACAGTTTGTCCACTGTCATTGCATGACAGGTTTGCTCTTTCAGTAATAAAAACCATAATCTTCAGTTACTGACATCTCATGTAATATGATTTGTCAGCATGTTGACTGTTATCCTGTTTTTAAAAGAGCAGCTTTCACTATGAAAATGTCAGAATCCCTCCTAAACTTTAGCAGTACGTTAAAGATCCTGTATTTCAAAAATATATGGATTAAAAATGTAATATACCAGATCTGAAACTTGTACTGACAGGATGTCTAATGCATCCTACAAGAAAACAGAGCATTAATCAAGTATCAAAATCTCAAACATGAACAGGTTGTGTTTTGGGAGGTAGATCCCATAGGAAAGAAAAATCAAAAGTGAGATCTCTTTAACATCTCAAATGTTTCTCCTAGACAGAAATGAGGTTACTTTAAGATCGAATTGAGATTTTTGCTTGAGTCTCCTGCTTCTCAAACTTGTCTCCTGAGATAAAAACTCTAAGAATCTTACAATGGTCTCCTTTAAAGAGATCTCAACAACATCACACACTGTGTTTAGATTTTTTTTCTTTAGCTAAATAATCTTGGGGTCTCATATCTGTCTCTTGTAAAGCTTTAGAAGAGATCTCAACAATTTTACAAAGTGTGCATCAAGTGAGGTACTTGAAAGGCACTAAATAAAGGGGGGTCATAAATTCAGAGATAAAGGCTATATTGAGAGAGAAATTATGCAGAAATAAGGATAATGTTACTTTTTATAAGACAATGTTTATGTACTTAAAGGCACACAATTTGTTGTTGGAAATAATAATGTACCCGATGCCTTAATCAAAACTGATTTACAGAAAATGTAACCCTGGAGCTTTCTTTGCTGAAAGGCACATACATGGTTTATGACTCAGTCTTGATTATTAATTGACTAATTTGATTATTAATACATATTATATGGTAGACATGTTTGAGCTCATATTGAGGCATTTGACTTGGTGCACACTTTGTAAATTTATTGAGATCACTTCTGAAATTTAGAGGAGACAAATGTGAGAACTCCCGAGTCTTTAGTGTAGGAGAAAAATCTGAGCACAGTGTGTGATGTTGTTGAGATCTTGTTTGAAACATTGGAGGAGACAAATATGAGACCACCAGTGTCTTTAGACTAGGAGAAATATCTGAGCACAGTGTGTGATGTTGTTGAGATCTCTTCTAAAGGAGACCATTGTGAGTGAGTTAGAGTTTTTGTCTCAGGAGACAAGTTTGAGAAGCAGGAGACTCGAGCAAAAGTTTCCATTCAATCTTAAGGTAACCTCATTTCAGATCTCTTTTTTTAATTTAATTTTTCTTCCCTCTGGTTAGCTTCAATGTCATTTATCCACACCATTTCCAATACATGCATTGTCATATTTGAAGTTGTTTTAGACAGTGTTTTATTGCACAGTGATTTAACAGAGGAAACCATAACCTATATTTACATGCATGCAAAAATGGGCTGTACAAGACACAATTTTAATGCTAAACAAAGCAAAAAAACAAACACTAGTACACTGGTATAGTGTTACATTTGTTAAAAAAAAGGTATTGCTCTTATACTAAACATCTTGCACTTGTAAGTCCTTTCTAGTGTGTTTGGAAAATGTGGTGTATACAATGCTGGACATTGAAGATAAATGTAAACATTTAAACTAGTATCCCTTGATATTCTGAAATGTTTAATGCTATTTAAATGATAGTTTTAGCATTTACAATATTAGTAAAAGTTTAACGTTTCTCCTAAAATAAAACTGAAGACATCTTAAGACAAAGCTGATATCTCAATTAGACACATAAGAGAATCAGCCCTTAGTATCCTGAGCATAAAATAGTCTCTGTCAGAGCCATAGCCTTGTGCACAGCACATCGATGTGAAGGCACAACTGCACCTCAGATAGCATGGATTTGAATCCCAGCTAAAGGTACTTTCCTGCTCCTGTTTAGTTCTCACCTGTCCATTTGTTTCCTGTCTCTACTCCTACTGTCCTGACCATTAAAGGTGAAAAACCCCATTGCAATCAAAAACGCAACCCCTGAGCAGTGAGATGTTCTTACATTTTTATAATGGAGTCTTGCAAGAGATTACAGCAAGACAATAAAGAGATCTCCCACACTGTAAAAAACCCCTGTTGTTTTTACAGGAAAACGCTGGCAGCTGTGGTTACCAGAGAATTCCTGTAAAAAAATACAGCAGCACAGTAGATGAACTGGCAAATTACAGACCCACACTGTAAAAAAAATTCCGTAAAATTTACGGTAAAAAACCACCTCAGATAGCATGGATTTGAATCCCAGCTAAAGGTACTTTCCTGCTCCTGTTTAGTTCTCACCTGTCCATTTGTTTCCTGTCTCTACTCCTACTGTCCTGACCATTAAAGGTGAAAAACCCCATTGCAATCAAAAACGCAACCCCTGAGCAGTGAGATGTTCTTTTTTCACCGTATATAGTAGGGGAATTTACCGTTAACCATTTAACAGGTTTTTACTGTAGCATTTTTACAGTCTTTTACCGTTAAATTCATGGTCATTTTTTACAGTGCATGTTTCTCACACATTTCTCTCCCATTGTCATTTTGGATTCCTTTCTTTCAGAATTTTCTCATGTCTCAGTTGTGTCTACTTTTATGTCTCCTAAGGATTTTTAGAAGAAACATCTGAGACACTGTTGAGACTAAAATGAGAAATACATGAGAATCACAACTACATCTCCTGAGGTTAGAAAGAGCAACCACTGAGCAATAAAATATTCCTATAATGGAGTTTTGATAGAGATTGCAGCAAGACAATAAAGAGATATTTTGTTTCTTCCACCACATTCTCGGTTTTGACTCTTTTTTTTCTCAAATATTTCTCATGTCTCATTTGTGTCTAATTCCATTTCTCCTAAGGAATTTTAGGAGAAACATCTGAAATGCTGTCGATACTAAAATGAGAGATATATAATTAATTTATGCATTTAGTAGATGCTTTTATCCAAAGCAACTTACAGTGCATTCAGACTGTACATTTTTTACCATTATGTGTTCCCACGGAATTGAACCCACAACCTTTTGTGCTGCAAACACAATGCTCTACCACTGAGCCACAGGAACCAGAATGTATGAGAATCTCATCTAAGTCTCCTGAGCTTAGGAAACGCAACCACTGAGCAATACATTTTTCCTATGGGATAATGTGTAAATTCACTTAATGTAATAATTGTAATGGCCATGTGATGTATCTACACTGTTAAGACTTTTTATCGTATTTTTGCGGTAAATTACTGGCAGCACTATTGCCAGTAAGTTACTGTAACTACCCCTTTACAGTAGCTTATCGCAAGTTCATTTTACAGTATAATGCCCTTACCACAATCTCATTTTACAGTATGATGGCCTTACCGCAATTTAAATTTAGTGAAATACCCTTACTGCAACTTAATTTTACAGTACTATATCCTTATATCCTTACTGTAACTTAGCTTTACAGTATAATAATTTTACTGTAATTTATTTTTCACTATTTATTTTATAAAACCTTTGAATATTTTACATGAATGCCATTGAATTGAATAAATTCCAAATAAGTGACCTGAGTCCATGTACAACAGTATACTGTCACTATTAAATACATCCATTACTTACTTATTTATTGTGCTTTATTCTGGAACATTACAAAAAAAAATAGAGAACTGGATTCATAACAACAAATCAAAGCAGAGATCATGACAATATTGCAACAAAAAGAAATATGGCAACAAGCATCCCAGTTGGTCTTGGCTGCATGGCCTCCATAACCACCGACAGCTGATCTGAAACAAAACAGAGGGGAAATGTGTGAGAAATGGTCATGAGTTTATCTTATCTAAATTTGTTCATGGACAGACAATGTAACAACTTGTGCAACAGCAGTTATTCCCAGTATAGTACTGTGTAAACACTATTGCTTTTTTGCACATCCTTGTCAGGGAACTCCATTAATTGCCTGAATGTACAATCACATTAAAGAAGTACACTGAGTAACGTTATGGTCCTTCAAACTTAAACTTTTTTTTTTGGCAGTGTTTTTAAGTATCTTTTTAGTTGTAACAGCTCTTGATCCAAGGAATATCAGTGTGTATCAGCTACTGTAACATTTGTATTGTTTGTAAATATTAGAGCAAAACAGGCTTTTGAGTCAATCTAGAAGTACTCTTGAAGAATACAGGATAATAACCAAAATGAATACTAAATCAAGGTACATAAATGGCTGTCATCAAATTCTCAGAAACATTTTAATCCAATTAAATCGCATGGAAACTGGAATCATATGGAATCAGAATAAGAGAATAAGAATAAATGTGAATCAAACTGAATTGAATCAAGATCATAACTGAATTAAGAGCTTGTGAATCAAATGGAATTATGAAATCTGTCAATCCCCAGCCCAACATCTGAGTGATTACTTACAAAGCCAAAGATGCTCAGTGCTGTGGCTCCTAAAATAGCCTTTGGGGTGTAGTTAGCTCCTGTTGAAACAAGCAAAAGAGAGAAAAAGAAGAATCATTATTTTTCGTCAGTGATTATTGACTAATCACTATATGTTATGAACATGATAAATCATAGATTAGAATGAGTGCTAGATTGATCACTTACACAATCAGATTACAATCAACACTGAAAAAAGAGAGAAGAGAATATATACAATAAAATGTAAAAAATAATTAATATGAAACTTAAGAGAATACTGACTTTGATGAGACCTTGCTTCTATTAACAAACAAGAAGCCATAATAAAGAATGTATTTTCTTTCTTGAATTAATTGATTATAATTTTACTTGAATATATATATTTTTTCTCTGCACTGGCGTAAATTTTTTATTTATTTATTTAGAGAGCGCGAGAGAGAGAGAGAGAGAGAGAGAGCGCTCGTGCTATTTAAAATGACGTCACACATTTAACTGACGAGTAAAATATACCATAACTAGCAGTTAAAAAGTCGAAAAATCATTGTTCGTGTAAATACTAGACATCTGTACTGGAAAGAACAGCCAGTCAGTTGCAGGACAATTTAATGAGTTTCATGAAAGCGGCAGTTTTTGAGGAAATCGAACATTTCCCTCAGACTGTTCTAGTAATAGCCTATAATTAGATTTTATATTTAACATTACTTTTTTCATATTTTTAAATGTCATTGATATTGGTAATAGTTTACGTTTTAAAAGTAAGTGAAAAGTAGGCTACTTACCACAGGAAAACAGCTGTCCTCTGGCGGTTCACTCAGAGGGGAAGTCGGTTATGCCGCACCCGACACAAGCCTCAGTTTATTTAACCTCTGCCAGGTTATTGCGCGGGCTTTGCGCGCGAATAAAATGTAAATTTTGTGGGGTGTAAGCAAAGTTTATATATTATATTATAAAAATACATTTATTTCACCACACTTGTGCTTACCCAGACATTACATTCAGAATGCAGATTCATGTTTTTCATCGGCAGAACAATTTACAGTAGCACTACTGCTTTTGAGCAAACAGTAAATACCAGATTCCCATGTACAGTAAATTACCGTAAATTGCATAAAAATACCCATAATGCAGTGCATATTACAGTAGTTATCCGTAAAACACATATATGGTAGTTTACTGGGCTTTTTTTGCGGTACGTAACTGTTAAATTACAGCAAAGTCTAACAGTGTAAGTTCTTTACCAGACATTTTTTCACATGCAATGCAACAGAAACAAGGAACATTAGGTATGACACAGTACATATGGATTTAACATAAGAGTAAATAATTAAACAGAAAGCATTAGAAAAGCAACAGTGGATCAGCTGATTATTCATCATTCAATCAGAAATATCTTATATATTTAAATATTGACTTTCGGTGGAAGTCTATCAAGTGGTCTATCAACTATGGGGTGACGATGTGGTGCAGTAGGAGAAATGAAGCCTAGGATCTCATTTATAAATCGCAAATTTGATCAGATATAATCCTAAAGTTAATTGATTTGATCCTATGTTTAAAATGGCACACAAAACAGGAATTATAAAGGCAGCAAGTTATGTATTTTTATGCGCAAGCCAATGGAAAAGTATGTGTACACGTACCATTGAAGGCCAGTGCATGCTGACTCGATTTACGGTAATACAACATTGATTGGCTGACCAGCATTTCAAAAGTCCAGCAATACTGGAACATTTCACATTTTATATAAATGCGCTTGTCAGTGTTTGTGGCATTCCAGACAGCATGCCACTCTGTGTGTTGTTCTGCAACATGCAACGGTTGATCATGCTTTGGCTTTGTATGAAATTATTTTCATTTGTAGAGTGAAATATAGACAAAATAGCTGCCAATATTGTGTCTTACTGCATAACAGGGTCTCTTTACAGTAAATGCAAATACCTTGCTAACCCAGAACCAGGAACAGTTACTGAAAAGGTAGATATTTATTGAATAGTTTACTGTGCTTCATACTATGTTTCATTTGAAATGATAACACAAATAGTATTTCTCCCCACCAAGGTTTGCATAAGCATTGCTTAAACTCAAACACAGCTATAAGGACATTAAACATGTCCTTGATTAAAAGATAGAATCCCATGGTAATGCATAATAGGTTCCACCTTGTGATCTCTAATTACATTCTTCCAAAGAAATCTAATATTCACTATAAAAGATCAAGTGCTGACAGGTAGCTCCCATTGGCTCTTGAGGATGGTTGTTCTATCCATGGGGGCTGTGAGGATGTCCCAGATGTGCATGCTGAGATGGGTCGTCCTACTGATGGGGCTGCAGTCGGTACAAGCAGGTTAGCTGACTAAAAAATTAGATCAGTTCTGTTCTCATCTCGCAATACTAAAAATTATTGTAAATATGTATCTCTGTTTTTTTATGTTTATAGACTATATGGGAAATCAAATGAAAGGCATAACAGATTCTGTAGTGGACTTCATGACAACAGCAGCTGGTAAATATTTCCTTTTTATGTGTTGTGTGTAACTTACAGGTATTAATTAGGGGAGTCAATGTAATGACTTTTTTATTGATTGTAGTGCTGGGGGATGTAGCACATTCATTTCTTGGATAAATTTAGGGGAACGTGTGTATTTATTAGACTAATAATACAAGTTTAAAAGGCACCATTACACAAATATTATTTAAAAGTTAGTAAACTACATGTTTAGTTCACATTAATTTGGTTTACGTTGTTAATTGCACCTAACATAATTAAACATTTAGCCCCAGTACTAATTGGATTGATTTATAAAGTAATTAAAATGTTATAATTATTTAAAAAATAATAATAATTAACGCATATCTTGACATCTCAATTTTTTTTTTTTTTTAAATAAATGTTTTAATGGACCTACACATTGCCTTGTACGTGTCTTAAAAACATGGTTCAACTCTTCCTCGTCTTCTTTTTAAGTGTTCCCTCCCAGCATGAAAACTGTGATGGTAACTAGAGGTATGAAGTCATAGCTTTTTTTTCATAATTCAAACTGCTTTTTCAGTGCTAGATACGGATATATTATTAATATCTATTCTCTCTCTTGGTTTAGCAGAACCAAATCCTGATCATCAGTCCATGATCTGCAGCACATGGGGAAATTTCCACTTCAAGACCTTCGATGGTCATTTCTTTCAAGTGCCAGACACGTGCAACTATGTTCTGGCGGTGATGTGTCCCAGCAGAACATCCGATTTTAACATCCAAATGCAAAGAGAGATTGTAAATGGTTCAATCATTTTCAGCAAAATCATAATACATCTGCAGGGGACAGTCATTGAACTCACCAACAATGACATCATCATGGACGGAGAAGTGTGAGTTTATTTTTATTCACTTAAGACTGCATCCAAATGTCCAAGATTTTCCTTAAAAACATTTTCTTTTGTTGAATGTTGACTTTTTTTGCAACTTGCTTTAACAGGTTGTATAATGCAACCTCTAAGAATGAAATTACAGTCGAGTTGAGTGCATCAAGTGTTAAGGTCTCTAAAAAATATGCAGTGACTGTCTTTTTTGAGAAGAACCAATCTTTGTTGGTATGCGATTTCTCTGTTCAAATATACAATTACTGTATAGTATATTTGTGACCCAGTAGGTCAAAAAAGGTCTAATCTCCAGTCTCTAATAATCTTATATTTTTATATGATGTTCCCCAGATTCAACTTTCTGAGAGTTACCGAGGCCAGACCTGTGGACTCTGTGGAAACTTCAATGGCATCAAGGCGGATGATTCAACTGACAGTGGTAAACCTCATTATGATCAAATCACCTGCTAAAATAGTTCAGTAATTCATATTTTAATGACATCATATTTTGTTGATATCTGACCATTTGAAACATGTATAGATGGTCTGGCCAACTGGAAGGTGTTTTCACCTGAATCCTGCGTGAATGTCGATCTTCACCTTAATGATCATTGCGAAAATCAGGTATTATGACAAAAAAATGTTAGTTGTTGCAAACTTTGGGGCTGTGCCAACAATTCTAGAAATACAATTGAAATGTTTCTTTTTAATTGTTTCATATAAATTACTAATTACAACATTAATACATTTTCTGATATGTGACCCTGGACCACAAAACCAGTCTTAAGTCGCTTGGGTATATTTTTAGCAATAGCCAAAAAAAAACAAAAAAAACATTGTGGGTCAAAATTATAGATTTTTTTTTATGCCAAACATCAGTAGGATATTAAGTAAAGATCATGTTCCATGAAGATATTTTGTAAATTTCCAACCGTAAATATATCAAAACGTAATTTTTGATTAGTAATATGCATTGCTAAGAACTTCATTTGGAGAACTTTAAAGGCGATTTTCTCAATATTTCGATTTTTTTGCACCCTCAAATTCCAGATTTTCAAATAGATGTATCTCGGCCAAATATTGTCCTATCAAACAAACCATACATCAATGGAAAGCTTATTTATTCAGCTTTCAGATGATGTATAAATCTCAATTTAAAAAAAATGGACCCTTATGACTGTTTTGTGGTCCAAGGTCATATGTGGAAAATAGTTTGGAATTACAGAGTATTTGCTTTTAATTCTCATTTATTATTTCAAGACTGTTATTGTATCAGAATCAGAATTAGCTTTATTCGCCAAGTGTGCATGAACACACACTTGTGGTTTTTTATATTATATATGTTTCAGTATTTGTTAAAATGTGTTATGGTTCTAATCCATATATATACATATTTTTTATCTCCCAGACAAGTGTTTGCCAGCAGCATCTCAGCAGTCCAGGGTTTGCTGACTGCTACAGGGTGATGGACATGAGTTCATTTGAAAAAGCCTGTGTAGACGACCTGTGTCAGTGTTACGGCAATCACGACTGTCTCTGCAACACGCTCACAGAGATTTCACGACAGTGCACTCATGCTGGAGGAATACCAGGAACATGGAGGACAAAACAGCTCTGTCGTGAGTATCATATTCGGACGTTGACTGGGCTGTAAACAAATTAAATTATGATAGATAGATAGAAATATTGTGCATTTTGTGACACACTGTGTTATTCTGTGGAGCAGCAATGACATGTCCTCCAAACATGGAATACCTGGAGTGTGGCAGTCCATGCAAGAACACCTGCTCAGATCCAGATGCAAGTCTACTGTGTACCGAACACTGTGTGGACGGCTGTTTCTGCACTAATGGTGAGAAACAATTTACAAAATGCTAGGTAGGGATGCGGGCCCGATACTGCTCTCCTGTACTCGTACTCATAAAAATGCTCCAATACTGATACTACACCGCGTGTGAACAGTCCTGTGTCTAGACAGAACAACAACAGAGCGTAGAATGGCATTATTAGAGATTAAGCATGTGTATGAAGTACATGTTATTAAAATTAATGTTAAATATTCAATATTCATGCCTGCTGATGTGCGCAAACTGATAAGCAAAGCACACTGAGTTGATTGAACGTGCAGCGGCCCTACCCAATCTTTTAAAAAAATTACAAATGCTATGAAAATACAGGTATCTGTGTAAGCAAGTAGGCTACAATAAAAAAAGTATCGGTATTGGACTTGCTCTGAAAAAAAGTGGTATTGATGCATCCATAATGCTAGGAGCCTCTTAGTAGGAGGTGTTTTTTTGCACCTAAGCATTACCACTTGTTAGGTCTATTTTCAAATGAAGCTTCTCCTTGCAAGAATAACTAACCATGCTTAAAGTATTACACTAGATTCAAGCAAATCTTAAATCTGAGAACTGTTTGGATTATAACATACAGTACTGAATAAAAATGGCACAACATTTTGCTTACTTTTTGTAAAGGCACCATTGAGGATGACATTGGTAAGAAAGGTTGTATTCCTGTGAATGAGTGCCCATGTGAGCACAATGGCAACATATACTTTTCAGGAGAGTCATACACACAAGCTTGTAAAACATGGTGAGTCATTTGTAATAGAACATACAAACATGCACTAGACATTTGACAAAATATACCCACGATAACATTACTGCCATACTGTGTCAGTGAGTGTGCTGCTGGACACTGGAACTGCATAGATCTGGAATGTTCCGGAATCTGCTCCGTTGTGGGAGGGTCTCATATCATCACTTATGATGGAAAACAATTTACCTTTGATGGCACCTGTGACTACATTCTCACTAAGGTCTGTGATTGTCAGTATAACAAATGTACATTAACCTGCACTAAAAGATACTCCCTTAAATGATCAATTATTTAAATTCTGAATTGAATTGTTTTTTATTTGTTTGTTTGTTTGTTTTCAGCACTCTAATGACAGTGACATTGCGGTGGTGGGAAATCTGGCACAGTGTGATCAGGCCCCAACAGAAACATGTCTAAATTCAGTTACCCTTGTCACCACAGGGATCACCGTAAGCTCTGTTTAATATTAATATCTAACTAATTAAATAATGTTTTATCTCAAAGTAATATTCAGATATGTTGTCACACTATATACAACATTTAAAAAGAAATAATTTACGAAAATAAGACAATTAATCCAAAAAAGTAGTTAAAAAAATGCTAAAGTGGAAAGGCGAGCTCTGATATGAAGAAAAATGCCCCTGTCCTAAGGACACAGTTCAACTTTTCAATTAACATCTTTCTTAAGCATAATTGACCCTTATCTGAATTTCACCCTGTGTGGTTTTATTGTGTTCACCTAACTGCACAAAAGCTATTACAAAAAAATGTTTTTATGAATACTGTTTTAAGAAATCATTCTAATTTAAGGGGGTTTTAAAGTATTTGCTAGAGCAAGCAAACACTGCCAGAGAAAACACACATTTGTGTAATTCACTGACATAGACCTTATCATAAATTCTCCATAAGACAACAAGCCCTGTTGTTGATGAGGCATCCTGTTGAAGATGGTTTAGGAATTTTTCACCCAAAACATGAATATCTTGTCTCACCCTCACATTGCTTCAAACCCATACAACTTTTTAAAGAATGTATTGTTTGCTTTTTTTAATGCAATGTCAAAGAATGTAACTTTCAAGCTTCAAAGTGCATGCAGAAGCACCATGAAAGTATCAAAAATGTCATTTAGATGACCCATATATTGATAGCTTTTGTGAAGAACAAAAATAAATGTCATGTCGTGTTCATGAGTAAAGTAGTGATGTGTGTCTGATTCATGAATGAATGTTCTTTGAATTGCTTTGATCTTTTCAGTGAATCTGTTGATCCAGAGCACAAACCAGTCTGAATAAATCATTCACGAACCAGAATGATTTGATTCTCAAGTTCTAATGACTAATTGCACAATAGTTTGATCACACTCATTAACAACTGTCTAGAGAAAAATAAATTCAGTGAAAAATGACTTAAATTTCAGTAACAAAAAAATCAGACGGCTACAGAAAGCTTGCGGTGCAGAAGTCAAATAGTTTTTTAATATGTTTATGGTTCTTTTGCATCCCTTTTTTAAGCTTGAAAATATTGCATGAAAATGTAATATGAAGAACACGAGGAAGAGATGATGACAGAATGATATTTTTAAGTGAACGATCCCTATATAATTAACTTCATACTGGCATATAAACTTTTTTTTTTTTGTACATTTAAAAAATACATTGAGATTTATTCATTATAATCACAGTACAACAATAGAATAAATTTTTTTGTTGTCGTTACAAAACAGATTCGTTTTTCCTCCAGTGGCTCCGTAATGAATGAAAACAGTCCATATCTGCTTCCTGTCATTAAAGGTGGGTTGACCGCAGCAAACACAAAAACGCTCGTCTAACTTTAGTGTACAACAGATAGTTTGGTCCACGTATCGGATCTCCGTACAAACAGCAGAGGACTTTTCAAATGTCCAGTAGATTTTGTGCCATCTATGCTCAATATCTATCTAATGCTAACTACATTTTGGGACACTAATTACTCTATTTCCGAAGACATGACATGATTTTTGAAGCTGTTTAAAGTACATTATGAAAAATACTTTTTAGTGTTACATATCCCTGCAACATTTCAGCCATAAATTAATTATAAATGTTAGCTAGATAATGTCCAATACCTGTCTAGTAATGCTATTTCTGCTGAAATATAATTAAATAGCAGTTTGTCTTTTCAAAACTTCTATTGCATGTCATGATGTGTATTGAATGGCGACTCCCTGATCAGAAGACCTTTGACCTCTGTAATAATGTGTATCCCAGCAGTATAGATTTGATATTGGCTATCAGTACCGTTGCTTTCAACAACTTTGACTCCATCCTCTGACAAATGTATCATGTATTGCTGCAGGATTTTAATAGTTTTAATAAACTGAACTAGGGAGCTGATTGAGATGTACCCAAGTTTTTTTTATATATATATATAAATCTTTTGCGGCTTGTTTTATTTCTTACCCAATCGTTTCTTTGTGCCAGGTCCTGTGAGCATCTTCCAGCCCACTTCCTCTTTCATCATTGCTGAAATGAAGAGTCTTCGTCTAGAGATCCAGTTGGCTCCTGTCATGCAGTTGTATATTGTAGCCAGCACTGAAGAGAAAGGGAAGATGAGTGGTGAGTAAAGAAGATAGTACATAATTTTCTTTACTCCCACTTAGCTACCCACTAGTACTACACACATATTTTAAGAAAAACTTGTTAACAATGTATGTATCATATACTGTAGATACAATTAATAAAATAGTATGTTAAATATGTTAACTTCCTTTAATTCTACACCTTGATTATTTCAGGTCTATGTGGCAACTATAATGACAACCAAGAAGACGACTTTAAAACACAATCAGGCATTATAGAGGGCACACCATTAACCTTTGTCAATTTATGGACTAAAAACTTGTACAGTTGTACAGATGGTAAAAGCACAGTTTTTCCAGAAAATCCCTGTAGTGTGGCTTCGAACACAGGTACTTAGTTTTATAAACATTAATACAACATGCACTGATAAAAGGATTTTGAGAGAATATAAGAATAGTTCATAATATAAATAGAGGTTTTGTTTTCCCATTCTGATATTAATCCATTTTATTACTTTTTGTCTTCGTTGTGCTGAATGTTTTTATTCTTTCATTCAGAGAAAACGGCTAATGACTGGTGTTCCCGTCTTACAAACCCAAACGGAATCTTTTCCGCGTGTCATTCAGAAATACGTCCTGAAATTTACTTCCAAGTGAGTCTTTTTGCACAAAACTGACTCTTTTCATTTTAATCAAATGGCACATGAAACATAATATACAAATTTAAAGATCCCCCTTTATTAATGTCATTTTGGTTTCATCCTCTGCAGTGGTGTGTCTATGACACCTGCAAATGTGCAGATATTAGGAAGTGTATGTGTGCGACCGTGTCTAACTATGCCCACGCCTGTGCTGCCAGAGGAGTCATTCTCCAGGGCTGGATGGATTCTGACCCCTGTGGTGAGAACTTTATAAGTATTTGTTTGTTTATATGTATGCCATGAAATGTGAATGCGAGTATTATAGTATTAATGTGGATTTGAATCACATTGTATTGATTTGGCATGAAATGAAATTACATGTAATGAATCATTACAAAGGTGTGTTTTTCTGTAGATACAGTGACTGAGTGTTCAGGCAACATGAAGTACTCTTACGGCGTGACCAGCTGTGGCAGCACCTGCCGCTCTCTCAGTGTACATGCTTACAATTGCTCAATGTCCTTCACACCTGTATTTGGCTGTGTCTGTCCTGAGGGCACCTACCTCAACGAAGCAGGCAGCTGTGTGCCTGCTGACCAGTGTCCTTGTTATGATGGTGACAAGGTCATAGACCCATCAGGAATATTCTACAATAATGGTGTTAAATGGTAAAAAACAACATACCACATTAATGACTCATTTATTATTGATAAAAAATCCTATAGTTACTCTTGATATCGCCTTGCCTTGTTTTGTCATGTTACAGCACTTGTACCCATGGCAAATTGCACTGCTCCAGTCAAGAAGGTGAGCTGCAAATACCTCTTTTGCAACACCACCTGCCAAACTCAAACATTACTGAGATACACCAACACTGGTATGATGTGTGCAAGTTTTCTGCTACTCATTAATGTACTGTCCTGTTTTAGACTGTGTGGCTCCAATGACATTCTACAAGTGCTTAAATCCTGGAAAAAGAGGGACAGAGTGTCAAAGGACATGTGAGAAACAAGACCTAAACAGTTGTGTGAGTTATATATATATATATATATATATATATATATACTGTATATATTCCACTGCATTTTTTATAATACATGGATAACATGAAATAGCACATTTTGTAATAACAGTCTTGCAGTGAACATGATGTTGCACTAATGCTGCTTCTTCTTTGGTTTGTTCTATCTGTAGGTTAGCACAGGTTGTGTATCAGGGTGTATGTGTCCGGATGACCTTCTGGCTGATGGAAAAGGTGGGTGTGTGAAGAGGGAAAAATGTCAATGTACCCATAATGGAGGCACCTATTCACCTGGACAGCAAGTTCAACGGGACTGTAACACCTGGTGAGCCAATCATCCAATCATTATATAGATTAGCATGTTATTACAGTATATTGTTGATGATAATTGTTGGGTAACAAAATTGATATGCGTTTTATATTTTAGCACATGTAAAGATGGGATGTGGATTTGTACTGAAAAGGCATGCTACGGCACCTGTACCATCTACGGTGAAGGTCATTACAAGACTTTTGATGGCAAGATATATTCCTTCCATGGAGACTGTAAACACACCATCGCCCAGGTATGTTTTTTTCTTGCCTGTGTCACTCAGTGGTAGCCTACTTAAGTACATTTTTCAAGTATGTGCACTTTATCAGAGTATTTTTTGGGAAACTCTTCCCTTTACATTACGTTAAACACAGGGAATAATTGATTGATTAGAAAAAATACACATCTAATTCAATGGCCTGGAGTCAAATATTCTGCTTGTACTAAGGTTACTACACCACATGACATTGTTCAGATGTTTTTATTTCAAGACCTTTGTCAGTTTTTTGTCCCTAAAATGCTCTTATGAGCAGTGTTGGGCAGTAACACTTTCCCTGGTAACTAGTAGTGTAACAAATTACTAATAAAATTTAAGTAATAATATTAATGTTACCGTACAAAAACAAATGGCTAGTTTCTAGTTACTTTTTGTCACAATCACTAATGATTTGAAATTCAGTCATCGCTATCAATTTTTTATAATTGTTATTGTGCGTGTACGCACATGACGTCACCAACGCAGCAAGCTAGTTTCGTCGGAAGATGGAGATGTCAACATCATATAACGGCTGGAAATACAGCCCTCTTTTTAATTTTGAAGGGAGAAAAGATGACAAAAACAGCAATGTCACAAGTAAATTGTGTAGTGGTACTAAGACTTTGTCTACTGCAAATGCCAACATGTTTGGTTGGTTCTACCTGCTTGAGCCCTGTTGCAGATTTTACTATGTTGCTGCTTTATTAAATAACAGAAGTTGCTAAAAAAAACATTGTGTCCAAATAGTCTCCAATTAACAACTTAACTGTTCATGTCTGACTCAAAATTAGTCACAAACCAGGAGATTGAGTGTGTGCACGTCACGAATGATTGGTGACTGATTATAGCAAATGATAATCATACTGTATTTAACTAATTACTCTCAGTTTGTGAACTAAATCTGCTGTAAGGACAAGCTGTTTAAGACCATTATATGAAGTGCTTGAATGGGGCCATTGGCTATTTTTCACTCATTTGCACACTCTTAATTATCAGTAATACTAACTAGTGTTTTCCAAATGGGGGTTTGTGAGAGAACTGCAGGAAGTTTGAGAGCTAAGTAGAAGCAAATTGAGTTGCCATCGTGATATGGCTTAGTGTCATTATCAAATCTTGAAAGGCTGTGATTTAGTATGATGTAGTGTGTGTTTCAGGCTCTGTGTTCGTTTACCCTGTGTTCTGGTATTGTGTCAAATTTGTACCTGCCAATTAATTACCTAATTGCCTAATCCTAACCCCACCCTACACCTAATTCTAAACATAACCAAGCTGAGGGGGGTAATAACATAAACATGGGTCAGAATTCTGTGTCAACTCTCCTTGTCGCTTATAGTGTGCATTTGGGAAGGCAATGTATGGCATGATTACTTTATTTTCACATTTGCATAATTTCCAACATTTTTTATGGATATAAATTTTCAGCATTTTATCAGATTTGTAAAGAGAAGCATTGATCAACCTGTTGTCAACTAGAGACAGAAATGTCTACCTGCAGTTTTTTTTACCGAAACAAAAGTTTGAAGGTTTAATGTTTAAAAAGGAAAAATTTAATACATATTAGTATTGTCACTTGTAGTATAAAATATAATTATTATAATTATAATATAGTTGTTATTCTTCTTCTTCTTATTATTATTATTACAATAGTAACATATTTGTGCCTTCATTGTTTTGTAATTAGACTTAATAATAATACAAATTACAATAAAATAATTTGCCATACATAATTATTATTTGACTGGGTTCCTAGGATATCTGTACTTTAACTCAAGTATTTGATTTGTGCACTTCTTCCACCATTGGTATTCCTCTAGCCGTGATTAATTATTTCAAATGAAATTACTCCAGATCAAGTTTTTCTTTTTGTTATGTAAGAATAGAACATTCTTTAAAAAGTGTTCCCTTGTTCCAAATAATGCACTGAACATGTATTTCCACTTGCAAAAGTGTCGTAACTGTTTTGTGAATTCACCCCTCTGTGGCAACTTCTTCACTGCCTGACATATTACTGTTTGTAACCCCCCTAGGATTATTGCAATATGAACCAGACTCTCTCCTTTAGCCTTGTCACAGAGAACAAACTCAGTGAGACTACCGACACCATGTTCAAGTCTGTCAGTCTCTTATTTGGGGTGAGTTTATTTCATAGCTCAAACTAAGCATGAATGTAGTATTAGAACACGTGTAAAATATGCAACAGTAAAATCACAAATGTGTATCATTTATATAATGAGGGTAGATGTTTAAAAAATGTAAATGCAAAATCTGTACATATTTCTTGTCCTTTGTGATAAAATAACATTAATAGAAAAAGAAATATACCCAATTACATATATTGAATTCATGGAGAATGTATTACTACTCACTATTAAAATCCTGCAGCAATACATGATACATTTGTCAGAGGATGGAGTCAAAGTTGTTGAAAGCAACGGTACTGATAGCCAATATCAAATCTATACTGCTGGGATACACATTATTACAGAGGTCAAAGGTCTTCTGAACTTAATCTGGGACAATAAAACAAGTCTGATGGTCCAACTCCATCCCAAATTTAAGGTAAGCATTACCCCTAACCATCTTTTACACCTACCTGTTCATCCACTTACCTTAAAGTCTACATGATCTCTGTGGCAGGGCAAAGTGTGTGGACTGTGTGGAAACTTTGATGATAATGCAAACAATGACTTTGTGAAGCACAATGGAGAAGTGGTGACAGATCCAAAGGATTTTGGGAATAGCTGGAATGTGGATCCCAAATGCCAAGAAAACATGATGGAACCTTGTGAAATAAATTCACAACGGAGAGCCCGTGCTGAAAGACATTGCCGCATCATTAATAGTGAGGTCTTTGTGGAATGTAATGCAGCTGTAAGTATCAATATTAACATTTTTAGAATACAGGTGATTTGTTAAAGGTTTATTATTTTTCAGTGTTCAAATACTTTGATCTGACCAGTGACAGACAGCAGAAATTTTGGAACAGTTTGGGAAACTTATTTAAAATTAGTCATTAGTTTTACCATTCCATTTTGTGATAGTGGCACAGAAAACAGTTCTATAAATAAACTGAATGAAATATAGTTGAACATAAGGTTTCTTAAAAGGTTTCTTAATAGTGTATATAATTGTCTTTGCCATGAAGAACATGATGGAAGCTATAAAATATTTTTCCTTTTTTTTTATCCAAGGTGGATTCTGGCCCATACTATGATGCCTGTGTAAGGGACACCTATACATGTGACTCTGTGGTTAACTGTGATCGTTTCTGTACTGCAGTGGCAGCTTACGCTGCTGAATGTCGTAAAAAGGCGGTTTGTGTGAAATGGCGGACCCCAGATCTTTGCCGTAAGTTCAACATTTTCTACAAAAAAATTATTTTTAGGGTACTTTTATCTAAAACATGAATTGCATAGCATCATAGAACTTGGAAAGGAAGGTGTTTGTTTCTGTTGGTATTTGCCAAATCTGCATGATCTTCTATGTATAACATTGTCATACTGAACTGTTTTGCAGATGTATGCTGTGACAAGTACAACTCCCTGGGAGAATGTGATTGGCACTATGAATCCTGTGAAGAACCCTGCATACAAACCTGCAGAAACCCATCATGCTCTGATCAAATTCCTCTTGTTGAAGGTTAGTCAGAGTAGTTTGTTGCTATCTGCTGACTAGTTTTGATTTTCTCACTGTTAATATGCATTGCATTGACTGGAAGAGAGTATCCTATCTTAATATTATATAATATTGGAAATTAAATAATAGTTGATGGCAATTATTATGTTTTTTACATTATAAAAATGTGTGTGTGTATATATATATTTATTCATTTATAAATGAGCAATATCACACGAGTAGTTGTGAGATATGGCTGTATATCGGCATGGCTGTGATTCGCAAACACAGTGATACAAACAGTGAAAGGGCTGTTGGAGCTCTGTTGGACTCTAATATCACACTCTTATCAGCCTATCAGATTCAAGGACCAGAAAGAACTGTTGTGTGTGTGTGTGTGTGTGGGTGTGTGTGTGTGTGTATATATATATATATATATATATTTATTTCAATCATGACAACTCTCGGAAGATTTTAGCGTGGTAGTGGTTATGCCTAGGGATGCACCGATACCACTTTTTCCAGTACTCGCCCGATACTTTTATTTTTTGTACTTGCCGACACCGAGTACCGATAGCGATATTTTTATTGCATTTGTACATTTTTTAAATATTGGGTATAGAAACCAAAAGGGTATGTATAATGTTAGTTGGTTAACTTCATTTATCAAATAGATACAGTCAAACCTAAATTTATTCATACACCTTCAACATTTCTCACATTCTCACAGTTTATTCACTATAGTTTAGAACATGGTAATAAAATATGATAAGAACTCTACACAAGAGTTACACTGTGTCAGAACAAATTCATCTTGATAATGTTAGATAATTTTGATAGAAAGGTATGTAGTAGATTACAATCAACCAAACATTATTCAGACAGCTGTTAGTATGACAGTATTTACACAACTATGAATACTTTGTCGGGCAACCCTTAGCCTTAATGACAGCCTGTAGTCTCCTGGGCATGCTGTCAACCAGCTTCATGAAAACCTCAACTTCAGTTTTTTTCCC